TCTGATTTTGAGTGCGAGAGATCGTCCTCCTGAGTGGTTTCCACCTGCTCCCTCGTGTGTTTCTTTCATGACTTCTGCCGCGTCCGCCTTATGGAGGCAGCTGAGTACTGCCCCAGAGGCGTTGTACCGAAGTAAGCATTCGCGGTAGAGAGCATATTTTGACGATTTGGCGCGTAGACGCCGTGCTTCCCATTTGTCTACCGGAACCGTCCCATCTGACAAGAAATCGCGTATTTCGAGGCGCCAATCGTCGGGGTCGCTTATCGGATCTGGTGCGGCGCGGCTGCACACAAGGTTGATGGATTCGATCCCTTCAATGCTGGGGTGGTCGATGCTTTCGACTGGTATGACGCGGCGAAGGTCTGGGTCGGACGTTGAGGCTAGTGCTGCTAGGGCGTCTGCGGAAGCGTTATCTCCCCGTGGTATCTTGGTTAGCTCAAACTCTGTGAATTGCTTGGACAGACGCTGGACGACCTTAAGGTATGCGTCCATTCTATCATTTCTTGCTTCGTAGTCGCCGCTATATTGACTTGCTACGAGCTGTGAATCGATCAAGGCACGGAGTCGTCGGACGTTCATCCCAATTGCGAGTCGGAGTCCAGCGATGAGTGCTTCGTATTCGGCGACGTTGTTTGTCGCCGCAAAACGTAGCCGGAAGGATTGCTCCAACATTTCGCCGGTTGGGGACACGAGCCTGATGCCGACGCCCGATCCATGCGAAGAGGACGAGCCGTCTGAATAGAGGGTCCAAGTACCATTCGTCTGATTAGTGCTTAGTGCGGTGTCGTCCGGGTCCATTACTGGCAACTCGACGATGAAGTCGGCGAGGACTTGAGATTTCATGGCTGGTCGAGCCCGGAAGTCGATATCGTATTCACTGAGTTCGACGGCCCACTTGGTCATCCTTCCAGACAGGCTCGGACTGTGTAACGCGGCTTTGATAGGTTGGTTTGTAAGCACGGCCACGGTATGAGACTGGAAGTAGGGACGTAACTTCCTCGCCGACGTAACGACTGCTAACGCAGCTTTTTCCATTGTAGGATAGCGGACCTCGGCCTCGATTAGCGATTTACTTACATAGAAGATTGGTCTCTGTTCGCCGCGGTCGTCTCGTACTAATACCCCGCTGACGGCCCAACTTGATACAGCTATGTATAAAAATAAAGTTTCACCGTTCTCGGGTTTTGCGAGTACCGGTGGCGTCGTTAGATATGTCTTAAGTTCGGCAAACGCTTTCTCGCTTGCGTCGTCCCAGGTAAACTTGTCTCTTCGCTTTAGGAGGTTGTAGAACGGCAAACATTTGTCCGTCGACCTCGAGATGAACCGATTGAGGGCCGCGATCCGGCCGGTCAACCGTTGTACTTCCTTGGCGTTTCTGGGAGAGGGTAACTCCAGTATGGCGCGAATTTGTTTTGGGTTGGCTTCTATCCCTCTCTTGGTGACGACGTAACCCAGGAACTCACCGGAAGTTACCGCGAACGTACACTTGGCCGGGTTTAACTTCATTTGGTATTTTTTTAGCACGTCGAAGCATTGTCGGAGGTTCTGAACGTGGTCGTCAGCTTTCAATGACTTAACGAGCATGTCGTCGATGTAGACTTCAACAGTTCGGCCGAGCTGTTCGGCGAACATTTTGTTGACGAGGCGCTGATACGTTGCTCCGGCATTCTTCAGACCGAAAGGCATCACCTTGTAGCAGTACGTTCCGCGATCGGTGATGAAAGACGTCTTTTCCTGATCGTCCTTATGCATGAGAATTTGGTTGTATCCAGAGAAAGCGTCCATGAACGATAGGAGCTCGTTCCCTGCTGTGGCTTCGACGAGCCGGTCGATATGCGGTAAAGGGTAGCTGTCTTTTGGACAAGCCTTGTTCAGATCAGTGAAGTCGACGCACACCCGCCACTTACCGTTTTTCTTTTTGACTACGACGGGATTTGCCAACCACTCTGGGTATCGGACTTCGATGATGGAGCCGGCGCCTAGCAGCTTTTCGACCTCGTCATTTACAGCTTTGGCTCGTTCCGGACCCAATTTGCGTCTTTTCTGCTTCACAGGTTTGAATGTCGGATCCACGCCTAGCTCGTGGGACGTTATCGATGGGTCGATTCCAGGCATGTCCTCAACGCTCCAAGCGAAGGTTGACGAATTCTCTTTGAGGAGGGCCACAAGGGCCGCTTTGATTCCTGGACTAATTTCAGCTCCGATGCCGACGCATCGCAGTGGATCCGACGCGTCGATACTCACAAGTTCCGTCCGACTTAGTTCCGATTCCTCGTAGGATTTGCCCGGTGCCTTTGCTACTGCGGAGCGGGGCATGGGCTCCTCTTTCTTTGGTTGCTATAATTTCTTTTCGGCGCGGTTCTTGTGTTCGATCAGGAAACACGTCCGCGCTACTTGCTGATTTCCTTTGAGAGTAAAGATTCCTTGATGAGTAGGAAACTTGACGCACTGGTGGTAGGTGGACGCGACGGCCTGCATTTGATGAAGCCACGGCGTCCCCAAGATTACATTGTATATCGTCGGTTTATCGATGACAACGAACTTAACCCAGGCGATCGTTCCGCCAACAAATGTGGGTAGTTTGATGGTGCCGAGAGACATGATGAAATCGCCATCGAACCCAGCCAATGGTCGAGAACGCGGCTTTATACATCGGTCAGCTACGTTCATCGCGGTGAGGGTGTCTTTAAAGATTAGGTCGACTGAGCTGCCTGTATCGATCATGACGCGCGTAACTCGGCTATCGCTGACGATTAGCTCGACAACCAACGGATCGTTGTGGGGGAGATCGACTCCGACGAGGTCGTCTTTTGTGAAAGAAATGGGTTCGATCTCCACGGAAGGTTGGCTCGGCGCTACTGGCCATGTTTCCATCATTTCGGCTTTCTTTCGACACTGCTTGATTGAACGGACCGAATCGTTGCAGTTTTGAAGACCGCCCATGATCATATGGATTTGTCGAACGACAGCGGGGGCGTCGGCGACAGCTTTGCCATGGCGTTGTCTTTTGGCCGAATCGTTTGCTTGATCGTCGCCTCCAGCTGCTCCGTCGGCTCGGTCCTGGAGGAATTGCCGAGCAGTGGCCTCGTTTCGTTTTTGGTTTTTATTGCCCCCTTGGGCTCGGTCACATTCGATGGTGATGCCGCCGCTCTTGTACTTAGCCATGAGGAGTCCTTGTAGATAGCGACAGTCTTCCGTCGCGTGAGCCTTGCTTTTATGATACTCACAATACACCGGCCCGGTAGTAATGGCATCGGTATCTCTTGCCCATTTGTTCCATTGTTTGGGCGCCGTGTCTTCACTATTTATGACGAACGTGGCCGGCTTTCTACCTTGGCTCGTATTGCGGTCGAGGTGCTGTCTTGGCTCCGCAGGTTTTACCACAGGAGCTTCTTTCGGCGCCGATGCCTTTGTTACTCCGTGCTTTCGTGACAGAATGAGCCGTTCCTCCTCTAATTCGATGTACCTCGTTGCTCTATGAAGTGCGTCCTCGAGCGTGTTCGGGACATGGAGCGTGATATCATACCTAAACCTAGAATCGTACCACACTGCGTTGCGCAGAGCAACGATTGCGGCTTCATCTGGGACGACGATCCGGGTAATGACGTCCTTGAAACGGTCGATAAATAACCGGAGCGACTCCCTGGGTCCTTGCGCAAGGGACCACAGGTCGGCATTGGTCGTCTGGTTCTGTATGAGCGGCGAGTAATGCTTGAGAAACGTTACGGACAGTTCACGATAACTGCTGATTGAGTTCGGCTTAAGTCTTGAGAACCAGTTGAGGGCGGCACCGGTTAGATGCTCGGTGAAAATCTGGCATTGTCCTGCTTCGAAGTTCTCGTCGGTTAGTTCGGCTCGGTTGATCGCGATGCCGAATGATGTCAGGAATTCTTTTGGATCGCCCTTTCCGTTATAGGGCTCGAGCTTTATCTTTTGACGCCCTCGGAGTGAGACGCTGGTTATTCTTCGAGTGAAAGGAGTTTGCTGCGTTTCTTCAAGGACGCGGTCGAGTTCCGGTGCGGCACTTGTGGCCTTATGAACCTTTGTGTTCATTTCCTGGACAATGCGTCGCAGTTCGGCGAGCTCTAGGTCTCGGGTATTTTCGCTTGACGAAGTGACAGGATGGATTTGCCGGGTCGGCACTTGGTTTCCTTGAACGGGTCGCACACCTTGCATCTGACTTGCACTTAGGCGATTGATTTCATCCTGAGCGCAAGCCTGGGCTGCTGCCAGAGATTCAAGTCGCACGTTCGTCCTGGCTTCTTGCTGGCTCAGGTGCGTGAGGATGTTTTGAAGCAGGTCGTCCGGTTCGCTGCGGTCCTGACTTCTTTGGTTCGTCCCGGCTCTAGTGTTAACCTGTGGGTTCGTCATGTTACGTCCGTTCGAGGGAGTTATCTGAGCATCAGGACGTGGTTCAGGGTGCGGTCCGATAGCTGCCGCGGTAGGTCCTTCCGGCGTCGGAGGTAGCGAAGGCGGTGCGGCTGCGGGCGTGCATGCTTCTCCTCCCGAGCTGGAGGCACTTGCGCCGAGTGCGTTGTGGAATGCGTCTGTCATCTTTGCTGTTTCGTCGGTTCGTAGTTATGAGAGAAATCTTCGAGCTTCTCCCCTACCTGGCGCGCCAACTGTTGATCCTCAAAATCACACAAGTACGAATTCGGAGTCTTAAGGGTGAAAGAAGAATCTCTTATTTAATGACGAGCCGACGATTACAAAAATGGACGAGCTAAAAACCGAGTATACGAGCCGAGCCGCAAAATACTCTAACGGTTGTACGAAATTCTCTGTGAAAGCGGTTATCTCGGGATCTCTTTACAATCATTCTTTTTTGCTATTTATAGGATGCAGGAGTGGGGTACACTATGCGTGCGAAATGTCCTTTTTACCCCTTTAGTCGGTGTAGAATCGAGTTGGGCCTTTCCTGGGCTTCTGCTGGGCCGCAGGGAAATATGGGCCTGCTTGAAGGGTTAGGCCTGTTAAGGGGTTTGGGCTCGAGCCCGAAGCCCACCATCAACAAAAGACTTCTGTGCTTTTTTATGCTATTGTATGAAGACACTTGATAAAACAACCTTCCATGAAATTTTCCTATAACGTGATTAGATTCTATCATCAAAAAGTCAAATCTATTCTACAAAGAATTTGCTTAATCATAATTCATAAGCCTATAAAGATGAAGCCAAAGCTCCTTCTCCAAGTATCACCATCACAAGAACCAAACTAAAGATGTATGTTACAAGGCGTTTATCGGAATACCAGAAAAAACCATCGGAGCTGAAACTGCTTCCACCGGAAGGTCCAAACTCCGGAATAATGGTGATTCAAGACGAAGAATCACAGGCCACTTGCTGCTTTGGTTCTTGCTATGAGGGTAGACTTAAAGGCTTGCCGTTTCCACAAAACGTGAAGCTCAATGTAGCTTATACTAGTGGAGGAGGAGAACACCAGACAACACATCTTACTCCAGTTGTGTTCATCCCTGTTCTTGATCAGCCATTGTCTTCAAACCTTTACTATGTTATACAAAGGCGTGGGAAGCATACTGGGTATTATATATTACTTGTCATCTCAATATTTTCACTGTTTGCTTTAGGATTTAAGAATTGTTACTGTCAACATTTTTACAGTTCTGAAATGTTTACTTCTGAAAAACAAATATATACGCTTTTTGTGGCTTTAGCTTTGATTATAACATTGAGGGTCTTTATTAGAAAGTGACTTACAGACTAATATATTGAAATGAATGCACTACAGAAGAAATGAATTTTTTGTCATAAATTGTTTATGCAAAATTGTGCTTACGATTATTTTTATGTCACAAAATGTATAAAATAGGTAGGTTGCAATATACGTGTTGATGTTGACTTTTTGTTGCAATAAGAATTTCAATTTTAAAGATCGACTGGTTTTAGTCTTTTAGAGACAATGACTTGCGCAAAATTTGTAGTAACTATTGATTTTGCTATATTGGTGTTTGCATATATGATATGGTAGGCCTAAACTATTGACAACTTGTAAGTTTCATTCAGACATTTTGATATTGTGATTACTATTAACTATATAGGTTTTGTTTAATTGTGAATTTGTGATTATAGGAAAGCATCTGCAAGTGCAAAAGAGGAGGAGAGAGTTTCAAGCTGCTTTTGCTTTAGCTATGTTCCTGAAGCTAAGCCTCAAGAAGCTGATCCTTATGACATATACCAACAATTCGAGATCCATCAACGTCGATCATCATCTCGCTATTACTCTGCCACTTCTGTTGCTTCTGATGGTGTGCCACCAGATTACCTTAAGAGAAAAGATTGGTGGGTCAGTTACTCGACTTCGCACGACTTTGGTCTAAGAGATGATGCTAAAGGGATTAACACAAAGCCTCGCTTAGACTCAGAGCTTACTAGTTTAGGTAAGAGTGCTGAGGTAGGGAAATGGTATGTTCCTTTCATATTTGTGATGGAAGGAGATGTAAAAGATCAGATGAAGCAATCAACGTTTTACAGCGTGACACTTCAACAAAGATGGGAAGAAGTTTTCTTCTGCGAAAACATTAGCAATGAACATTTTGAGGTTGTAGTTGATGTTGATGTAGAAACAGAATTGGTGAAGCTTGAGGGACAAGAAACTCAGTTGAGAGAGGCAAAAGGTGATGGAGTTGTTTGGTTTAGTGTATTAAGGGATGAGAAAGAAGACAAGAAGATAGGTCTTGGGTCTGTGGTCGTGGAGAGGATGAAATGGGAAGAGGAAAAGTTTGGGTGGTTAAACAAAGGCGGAAGATTTAGCATTAAAAAATCAGAGCGATTTGAAGGCGGTTCATCGCATTGGAAGAGCTATCGATGTTATGTATTGATAGAGAGCTTTGAGTTGAAGAGGATGGATGGGAGCTTGGTGTTGACATACGAGTTTAGGCATGTTGATAAGTTAAAGAGCAAGTGGGATTGAGTTTCTTTCATCTTTGTAACAGTTTCTTCGTGTGTCATCGTTTGGTTCAATAATCAATTTAATGAATAAGTTTTACGCAATTTCATGTACTATAAATCTTAAGTTCACATTTAATTTTCTATAAATGTCAATTTAATGAATCCAAATTTAGTTGATCATTTTTCTTACATGTCTTAACTACTTCCTTTGTTATCATTTTTAATCTCATGGCATAACACATGTTGTAATTATCACTCCAACAATTTTTGTAAACGCTCCATTTTTATATAAAATTAACTTCTATAGAAAAAATGGTTAAGTTCATTTGACTCCGCCTTTCCCACCGGAGTTCGACTCCAGTAAGTCGCGTTACTCCGCGTAGTAGGGATTGACTATGGATCGGCCTTGTTGATCCAAAGATGTCAAAAAAAAAAAAAAAAAAAATAGAAAAAAAAAACAAAATCTTCCTTGAAAATTGCTGATAATATGTTTTGGATTCTAACCAATTTAAAAGTCTTCACATACAAGTCTAGTCATGTTTATAAGTTGAAGAGAAAGTGAGATTCAGATCTTATCCAACTTGATTTTCATGTCTGCATAATTTATTTAATTTTATGATGTCTCTTAAATTCTACTTCGAAGGTTATGTTTTTTGGGGGCTCTGTTTCAACTTTCAACACAAAAGAACAGATTTGCTCAAATGACCATATATGAATTATGAAGTAAAGGTCATAAACTTTGGAACTAAAAGTGGATTATAAAACCTATATTAATTGACAAATTTTAAAAATAATGTGATGTGACTTAAAAACTGCCAGAAAAAAAGACTTCCATGAAAGCAAAGTCAAGATCTTGGAAAAGTCTTTTAGTTTTATCTTCTGCTCTTACATTGAATTGATGTAAACCCTGTTAACGATTCTTGTTGCTTCTGCCACAACTAGATTTTAGTCACTTTTCTTATTCCTTATCTCAATTTCTTGAAGGTTTGAGATGGTTGAGTTACTTGACTTGTGATTTTTTTGGTTTGAGGGTTGATGCTATTGCTTGGAATCGGGAGCCTAGGAAATTTATTGAGTTAGAGTGGTTGGAGCGTTGAATGCTTGACTGCTGAAAGTTTTTTTAGTTTTGAGTGATGATGCAAAAGGTGTGGACAGAATCTTCATGATGCATGCAGAAAAGTGTGATGATACAGAGAGGCAAAGACTTTATTTATACTATTCTATAGACACTTGATGAGAGGTGACATTAGGGTAGGCCAAGATCTTTATGTAGAACAAGTAAGTTTCCAAGGTATTTCCTACAACGAGCCAGCCAGAAAAGTCAAGTCACCTTGTGTTCTAAAAACTTGTTCAATCTATAAAATATTATGATCCAAGTTTTTCTCCAAGTCCAGATATAAACGATTACTCGATTTGCTTTACTCTTATAAAAACCAGTAGAAATGTATGTTACAAGGCGTTTGTCAGAGTACCAGAGAAATCCAGCAGAGCTAACACAGCCTCCTCCTGATGGACCAAACTCTGGAATTTTGGTAATCCAAGACCAACACTCACAAACACATCCATGCTGCTTCGGCTTGTGTTTGGTCGTCGACTCTTTTCTAAGTGGTTTGCCCTTGCCGCAAAATCTTAAGCTCGCAGCCAGATTCAATGCTGGAGAAGATGACGCTACTTGTGACCCAGTTCTGTTCATTCCGGTTCTCGGTAAGCCTCTATCTTCAAACTGTTACTACGCTATCAAACGAGGGGGCAAGCATTCAGGGTATGACTTTGAATCTTGAAGATCTGAAATCTTGAATCTTTCGTGTTATATAACCTAAAAAGTTTCTAATATTTTTGGTTGCAGCGAAGCGCCTGCTAGTGGGAAAGAGGAAGACAGAGTCCCCTGCTGCTTTTGCTAGTTATGTTCCTGAAGGCAAACCAAAACAGCTAGATCCTTATGACATGTACCAACAGTTCATGATCCATCAAAAGAAACCATCCTCGCGCTATTACTACGCGACATCTGTTGCGCCTGACGGAGTCCCACCATGGTTCCTTAAGAAAAATAAGTGGACAGTTGAATACTCGAGGTTCCAAGACTTTGAACTTAGAGATGATGCAAAAGGACTAAACACAGAGCTTCGTACCGAGCTTCTTGGTCTTGGTATGAGTGTTGTGGTTGGGAAGTGGTACGTCCCTTTTATATTCGTTAAGGAAAGAGACGTAGAGGATCAGATCAAGAGATCGATGTATTACAGCATGACTCTTGAACAAAGATGGGAAGAAGTTTTCTCTTATGAGAACGATAAAAGCGAAAACCGTGATGTTGTAGTTGATGTAGAGTTAGATACTGAAGTTGTTAAGGTTGATGGACAAGAGATTGCAAGAGGTGTTGAAGCAAATGGGTTTGTTTGGTTTGGGGTTGGAGAACAAAAGATCGGTTTAGGATCAGTTGTTGTTGAGAGGATGAAATGGGAAGAAGAGAGATTCGGGTGGACAGGCAAAGGCGACCAGGAGCGATCAATGACAGTTGAGAGAGTGGAGAAATCAACATATGGTAGCTTTTGGAAGAGTTATCATTGTTATGTTCTGATAGAGAGCTTTGTCTTGAAGAGAATGGATAAGAGTTTGGTCTTAACATATGAGTTTACACATGTAGATAAGCTCAAAACCAAATGGGATTAAGCTTATCACGCAACGAATCTGCAAAAGCTTATCATGTAGATAAGCTCAAAACCAAATGAGAAGTTATAGTGATCCTCAGAACACAAAAGTCACTGTCAGATTCAAAGTCGGAAGTTAGTTATTTTTTCTGTTAACTCCTTAAATCTCTTTCAAACTTGTTCATTTCCTCTGTTTCTGTTTCTTATGAGATTTGTTTTCAATATAGAGGCTGTCTTTCTTGACCCGGTCGCGTTCATCCCCGTTGTTCATCAACCACCTTCATCTAATCTTTACTACGTTATAAGGCAAAGCGGGAATCACATAGGGTGATTTTCTACCTTGATGTGTCTTTAGCTATTGACTAAGTAGTTCTATAGAATGATTATGTAACTTTAGAATCTTAAATCTGTCTTGTGTTTTGTTTGTTATATAGCATATATTTTCATTTACAGGAACCCTCAAAGTTTACTCCTTTTAAATTTGCAGTGAAGCATGTGTTAGTGCAAAAGAAGGGGACAGAGCTTCTTGTTGCATGTGCTTTACTTATATGCCTGATGCTGAACCAAGGCCTCTAGATCCTTTTGACATAAACCAACAATTTGAGATCCATCAAAGTGGATCATCAACCCAGAAGTTCTTTGCTACATCTGTTGCTTCAGACGGAATACCACCTCAGTTCCTGACGAAAAAAGGTTGGGTGGTTATTTCCTTGCCTATCGAAGAAAATGCTTTGATTGATGATGCAAAGGGAATAGTTGACGCAAAGCTGCGCTATGAGTTTCCTGATTTCGATAAGAGCGTTGTAGTTGGGAAATGGTATGTTCCCTTCTTATTTGTTAAGGATGGTGATGCAAAAGATCAGATGAATAAATCAATGTATTATAGTATGACGCTTCAGCAAAGATTTGAAGAGGTTTTCTTCTGTGAAAACGTTGACAACAATAAATATCGTGAGGTTGTAGTTGATGTGGAGGTAGAAACAGAAGTGGTCAAGCTTGAAGGAGACAAGATTGCAAGAGAGATAAAAGGTGTGAATTCAGATGGAGTTGTGTGGTTTAGTGTCTCAGCGACTGATAAGATTGGTCTTGGGTCTGTGGTCTTGGAGAGGATGAAATGGGAAGAGGAGAGGTTTGGTTGGTCGAACAAAGGCGATGAACTAAGGTCTAGCATTAAGAGAACTGAGAAATTTGAAGGCGGTGGACCGCATTGGAAGAGTTATAGATGCTATGTACTGGTAGAGAGCTTTGAATTGAAGAGAGCTGATGGGAGTTTGGTATTGACATATGAGTTTAAACATGTTGATAAGTTGAAGAGCAAGTGGGATTGAGTTTATTTCAGCTTCTTTGTTTGTTATGTGTGCAATTTATGGTGTGGTCATTTTAATGAGAGCTTTATGCAAGTTAATGTGTTATAACTTGAAGCTCTCATACATATTTGTAAAGTTTATATATAATAAATCTCCATGATAATGTTTATGAACCTCTTCTTAAAGGTGAACTTTGGACTTCAAAAGTGGATAAAACCATAACAGTTATTTGTAATAACGTTGCAGAAAAGCATTAGCTAGAGCAAAGAGGAAAACAGAGTCCCCTGTTTCTTTTGTTTCAGTTTTCTTCCAGAAGCTGAACCACAAGAAGCAGATCCTTATGACATATATCACCAAGTTAAGATCCATCAACAGAAATCATCCTCTTGTAGATACTTTGCAACCTCCGTTGCTCATAATGGGGAACCACCAGAGTTTCTTAAGAGAAAGTATTGGACCGTTGAGTATTCGAATTCCCGGGAAATTGGTTTGACAGGTGATGCAAAAGGGATCAACACTACAGATAATGTGGATACAGATGTTGTGGTAGGGAAAGAAAGAGATGCAAAGGATCAGATTAAGGGCTCAACTTATTACAGCATGACGCTTAAACAAAGATGGGAAGAGGTTTATTCTTGCGAAACACGCTTAAGTTTCTTTCATCTTGTTCAGTTTCTTTGTGTGTCATCTTGTGGTTCAATAGTCAGTTTAATGAATTCTGAATTTATTTGATCATTCTTATTAAATGTTTTAACTACTTTCATTGGTTATTATTTTTAATATTAGCACATGCTGTAATCATCATTCCAACAACTTTTGTAAACACTCCATTGTAATATAAATTAACTTCTATAAGAAAACAAACAAAATCTTCTTTGAAAGTTGCTGATAACGTGCTTTGATTCTACCAATTTAAAAGTCTTCACATACAAGTTTAGACATGTTTATAAGTTGAAGAGAAAGTGAGATTCAGATCTTATCCAACTTGATTCTCATGTCTGCATAATAATTTATATAATTTTATGATGTCTCTTAAATTCTGCTTCAAAGGTTCTGTTTTTTGGGAGCTCTGTTTCAACACAAAAGGTCTGTTCAGCAGATTGCTCAAATGAACATATCTGAAGTAAAGTCAAGATCTTGGAAAAGTCTTTAGACAGTACCGCGTAAAACATTGTTTATTCACTTTAATTTCTTTTTTTTTTTTTTGTTATCAAATTATGCTACTCTTTATATATACGAATCACAAAAACCACTGAAATTTTATAACTTATCAATTCACCACCAAACATGTATGTTACAAGGCGTTTGGCTGGACTTAAAGGCTTACCGTTTCCACAGAACGCGAAGCTGACTGTGAGTTACAGCATCACAGTTAATAACGTGACCACTGCTTATCGTGATCCTGTCGTTTTCATTCCGGTGCTTGATCAGCCCTTATCTTCAAACTGACCGTTACTACGCGATTAAACGAAGCGGGAAACACTCAGGGTATGATTTGACTTAGAATTACGCAAAATTTCAACTTTCTTGATTTCGGATGTGATATTTCAAGAATATAGGATAATCTAAGAAACAAGTCTTTATGTTGTAACTTTGTGTTGTAGAGAAGCTTCGGCTAATGCGAAAGAGGAAGACAGAGTCCCCTGCTGTTTTTGTTTCAGCTATGTTCCTGAAGCTAAGCCACAACAACCAGATCCATATGATATATACCAACAATTTGAGATCCATCAACCGAAATCACTGTCGAGAAATTACTTTGCGACATCCGTTGCTCCTGATGGGGTACCACCAGAGTTTCTTAAGAGAAAGTATTGGACTGTTGAGTACTCGACATCAGAAGACTTTGGTCTAAGAGATGATGCAAAAGGTATTTACAATGAGATTCGTTCTGAGCTTCCTAATGATGTGAATGCAAGTGTTGTGGTAGGAAAATGGTATGTCCCTTTCATATCTGTGAAGGAAGGAAATGCAAAGGAGCAGCTTAAGAGTTCAACTTATTATAGCATGATTCTTATCCAAAGATGGGAAGAGGTTTACTCTTGTGAAAAGGCTTACAACGAGAACCGCGAGGCTGTAATTAATGTTGAAGTGGAAACAGAAGTTGTGAGGGACAAGAGATTGGGAAGAAGGCAAAAAGTGTGGATGAAAATGGGGTTGTTTGGTTTGAGGTTGCAAACAAAAGGATGGGTTTGAGAACTGCGGTGACTGAGAGGATGAAATGGGAAGAGGAGAGATTCGGGTGGAAAAGCGAACCGCGGAGAGCAGTGGTTAAGAGATCTGAGAGATTTGATGGAGGTGGTTCGAATTGGAAGAATTATAGATGTTATGTGTTTGTGGAGAGCTTTGAGTTGAGGAGAAAGGATGAGAGTTTAGTGTTGGCATTTGAGTTTAAACATGTTGATAAGTTGAGAACCAAGTGGGAATCATGAGAGGATCTTTTTTTTTTCTTAAAATCTTCCAAAAACTATCCTTTCAATTTCTTTAGTAAAACCACATTTAAAAAATCTTCAATCGGAAAAAACTAGTTTTTTTGAAAACAAAAACCATAACAAAATATAGTAAACATTCAAGGTTTTAAATTTTTTGTAAGATTTAAGAAGAAAAATAACTGTTAAAAATGCAGAAATGGTTTCCGGAGATTGATGATCATCATTTTTTTCTTTCTTTTTTTAGTGATCATATTTATGTTTTACATTTATCGTCTAATGCAAAACGGGCTGGTGTAAGAAAATTATCTAGACTGGGCTTTATAGGTGAGATTTACATTGAATATGTGAGCCCAAATGCTTTCATCTTTTTTTGTTTGAAACACTTGGAGATATCAACGAGGCCCATTGTTAAAGATCTGTACAACAAAGGCCTATAAAATTATTGAGCCTCCCCTGATGACGTAGGCAAGTCAACGTAAGCATTACTCGTTATATTTAGAATCTTCTTTGAAAATTGCTGATTGTAACTTGCCTTTTTGATTTTAGGGACTATGAGTGTAAATGGTAACATGAAAAAAATATTCAGCCAGATTCAGCTAGATTCAGCAATTCCGCAGTTACCATTTGCATAAAACTAAATTCAGCTGAATTCAGCCAGATTCAACAGTTTTTCCAACATCAACAGATACATAGTATGTTCATTTCAGATAAAATTTAGATTATAGCGATTCACAACTCGAATTAAAATATTTTTGGCTATTAAAAATTACACATCAAATTTATATTTTAAAATAAGTTAGATCATACAAATACGATATATGAATAATTCATACACATAAAATCATTACCAGAATAGACAAGAGACATATTTATGTTCAGATATCTATAGATAATTTTAATAAATTTTAGATACTTAAATATAATTTTCTAAATTTTTGCAAAAATAACTCATACTTATGCTAAAATAATATTTAAAATATCAAATTAAAAAAAAATTGTTATTCATCCTAATCATATTAAGGATTTAAACTACTAGAGAACAATAAAAAATCAATAAAATAATCTATACTATATTATCATGTTTATTTTTAAATTAATTTTTCAATAAAACTTTGACAAAGCTTTCTATTAATTAATTATATCTTTTTAATAGTTCAAAAATTAGATTTAGAAGAACAACTCAATTTTGCTAAAAATATATTAATTATAGTATTTATTTATTGGTATAAGAGTTAATTAGACTATTAGATAATTTTATCTATTTTATTTAGATATTTTTCCTTAGTTATTCTATTAATATTCGTAATTATTTGACGATATTTCGGTTAAAGTCTTAATTATTTCGACAGATTCTGCTGAAAAACACAAAAATTCAGCTAGATTCAGCGGTTACCATTTGAAAATGTTAAAATTCAGCCAGATTCAGCTTAAAATCACTAAAAATTCAGCCAGATTCAGCAATTCAGCCGGATTCCTCGGTTACCATTTAGACCCATGATTAAATAAAAGTCTTCACATACGAATTTAGACATGTTTATAAATTGAAGAGAAAATGGGGATTAAGAGCTTATCCAACTTTATACTCTTATCTGCAATTTATAATTTATTAATTTTATGATGCCTCTAAAATTTTGCTTCGATGTTTCTGTTTTTTTTTTTTTTTGGGTGCTCTGTTTCAACACAAAAGCTCTGTTCTGCAGATTGCTCAAATGAACAAATACGAAGAAGTAAAGGTCATAACTTTGGAATTCTAAGTGGATAATAACTCAAAAATTGAGTTTAAAACAATGTGAGGTGACTTAGAAACTGCCAGAACAAAAAAGACTTCCGTATAAGCCAAGTCAAGATCTTAGAAAAGTCTTTTAGACAGAACCACGTAAAAGTTTCTTTCATTCTTTTTTTTTTGGGGTTACAAATTTTTCTTCTTCTTCTTATCCTACTCTACATATATATAGACCCAATCACAACTCATATGAATCACAAAAACCACTGAAATATCTTCACCGGTTATAACAAAAAAATGTATGTTACAAGGCGTTTGTCGGAATACCAAAGAAACAGATCGGAGTTGCCGGAAAGTCCAAACTCCGGCGTACTTATAATTCAAGATGATGAGTCAAAGCCAACTTGTTGCTTCGGATCTTGCTACGAGGCTAAACTCAAAGGCTTACCGTTTCCACAGAACGCGAAGCTGAGTGTATATGAAAGCCGCACATTTCTTGAGAAGACCCTTACTCATCTTCTGTCTCAGTCCATTACTTATGTTCCTGTCGAGCCTGTCGTTTTCATTCCGGTTCTTGATCAACCGGTATCTTCAAACCGTTACTATGCCATTAAAGGAAGCGGGAAACACTCAGGGTATGTATGACTTAGTAGAATGAAGCAAAATCTAAACTTTCTTGATTTTTGACGTGATTTACAAGGATTTGCATATAGAGTATTGATTAGTAACTCTAAGAAACAAGTCTTTATTTGTAACTTTGTGTTGTAGAGAAGCTTCGGCTAATGCGAAGGAGGAAGACAGAGTCCCCTGCTGTTTTTGTTTCAGCTATGTTCCTGAAGCTAAGCCACAAGAAGCAGATCCTAATGACATATATCAGCAATTCCAGATCCATCAAAAACGATCATCATCTCGCTGTTACACTGCCACTTCTGTTGCTCCTAACGGGATACCACCAAAGTTTCTAAAGACAAAGTATTGGAACGTTGAGTATTCGACATCAAAAGACTTTGGTCTAAGAGATGATGCAAAAGGTATTTACACTGAGATTCGTTCTGAGCTTCCTAATGATGTGAATACAAGTGTTGTGGTAGGAAAATGGTATGTCCCTTTCATATTTGTGAAGGAAGGAAATGCAAAGGATCAGCTTAAGAGCTCGACTTATTACAGCATGATTCTTATTAAAAGATGGGAAGAGGTTTATTCTTGTGAAAACGCGTATAACGAAAACCGCGAAGTTGTTGTTAATGTTGAAGTGGAAACAGAAGTTGTGAAGCATGAGGGACAAGAGATTGGGAAAAATACAAAAAGTGTGGATGAAAATGGGGTTGTTTGGTTTGCGGTTGCAGACAAGAGGATAGGTTTGAGATCTGCGGTCATGGAGAGAATGAAATGGGAAGAGGAGAGATTCGGGTGGAAGATCGAACCGCAAAGAGCAGTGGTTAAGAAATCTGAGAGATTTGATGGAGGCGGTTCGAATTGGAAGAGTTATAGATGTTATGTGTTTGTGGAGAGCTTTGAGTTGAGGAGAAAGGATGAGAGTTTAGTATTGTCATTTGATTTTAAACATGTTGATAAGTTGAGAACCAAGTGGGAATCATGAAAGATTCTTATGTTTAAGTATGTGTGTTGGTAATGTTTCCTTTGTGTGTGATAAGCTAATAAAAATTTGGAGTTTCTTTCGTTTGCAAAAAGTTTGGCAACAGTTAGTTTAAAATTTATGAATCCTGGCCAATTATCTATCTAAATTCTACAGTGAGTTTTTAAGTGTTCAGATTCTTGGGACAATGTTGCGAGAACCTATTAACAAGCTTCAACAAACAAGAAAATAAGAATTAAAGATGAAAAGAGGAAACCATCTTATTACATCTTTCCATAACATATGAAATCTATAATTTATACCAAAAAAAATTTAGTATCTTTAATTAGAACTTAAATGAAATATGAATCTAAAAACTATATGCCAAATATATTTAGTATTTTTAATTAGAATTTAAATGAAATACTTAATATAGATCTAAAAACTATATGCCAAAAGTTAGTTTATTAATATATATTGTTAAATATGGATCTATGATATTACATAAACGTGCCATTTTAAATTTTATTTAAATTTAACAATATGTTTTGATATAATATAAAAAAAAAGATAAAATTACGTAAAACATAAGGAAAACATAAGAGAATATAGGTGAAATAATAATAAAATACGTGTGAATTTAAAGTTTTGAATCAATAGTTCTTTCTTATCATCTCCCTGCCGATTGCGTTTGGTACCACTGCCCTCAGGTTTCTCATGATCTGGTGGTTCTGGTTTCTTCGAGTCGAGCAGGAAGTGAAGTCTTCCTTGAACTTCACTTTTGGTCATTCACATTTCCTCGGCAATGGCATGAATCTTGTCTCTCCCTTTTTCGCCGGCAACAATAATTAGTCTTGCATCTCTCTCGAACTCCTTTTGACCCTTTGATTTCATTATCTTCTGATTTTCGCAAATGACACTGATGAAGAAGAGCAAAGGCAATGGGCGGTTTATATAGAAATGAAAAGATACGCGTATAGACAAAAACAGAAACAACTTCAAGTCTAAGCTCTAACCTTCACTTTTACTAAATTGAAGCTATGATTATACTATCAGTTGTGGTGGTTTAAAGTAATTTTTGGATTTTAAAAGCAAGTTCCTAACATTTACTTTGTCCTCAAAGATAGTTTCTTTTAACCTGAAGTAAAGCATTTATATCAAGAATACCGTGTGATGAAAATGCAATCACTTTACTATATGTTGCTGATGTTAGTTGTAATCTCGTAGCTAACGCAATTAATTTTTCATATTGGCCTAAAGTTTTTTTTGCTAACGCTAATAAAAAAAAAAACTTCTCTTCATATATTTTCATATTGTTTGTGATGATTAATGATTATCTAAAATTTATTTAGGAATCAGAAGATTTGTCATATAGACAAAAACAGAATAGGAAACAATACATGCCTTGTACTATACTGTAAGTTGTGGGTTTGGACTATACTATAAGTTGTGGGGTTTATATAAATAAATGTATACCAATTTTCTTTGCTAATTATAACTAGACTTAAGAATAATTTTTAGTTACTTTATTAATCCTAAATTTAAATTGTTGAAAATTAACAAAGTAAAAAATATGATGTGGATGCAGTGGGAATGCAAAAGGCTAATTATATTTGACATATATTAAATAAGATATACTAAAAATTTGCTTACTAATCTTATGTATTTACTAATATATTTAGATATTATTCTATTTGAGTTGCTGATGAAAAAAAAATGTAGTTTTGTTCTTAGCTAAAAATAGTATGTGACATTATGCAAAGTTATTACTTTTATTATTATTTTTTGCAAAGTTAAAAATATATAAACAAAAATGGTTTAGTCTATAGAAAAATATCTAAAATATATATATATATATATATATATATATATAAATGGATGAGGAAAAACTTTAAGTACTATAGAATAATTAGAGTAGAAATGTAAGATTTATTTACATTTATGTCTTTCTAACTAAAATGAATCGTATTATTAATATATATATATATATAAAGATGAAGGCATTATATTCATTCATCATCAAAACAAGAAGTCAAGAATGGAGAAAGAGAAGAGGGTGATTGCATCATCATCACGATGGAGTAGTAGTACTACCATACGACGTCCAAGAGGAAATCCTCTTGAGGCTTCCGGTCGAATCAAACATTCGATTCAAGATCGTATCAAAACAGTGGAGATCAACAATTGAATCTCTACGTTTCGCAGAGAAACACTTGAAGTTCGTCGAACAATCCAAAAATGATCCTCCGAAAATCCTATTCGCCTCCAGGGGACATCAATATATGGAGCTTAAGACATTGTGCTTGGAATCTGCTTCTCTTCGAGTCTTCAATCTTCTCTACATCCCTGGACGACTATGCATCGAAATTTCTGGAAGCTGCAATGGTCTTGTTTGTGTCTACCGTGATAGGGAAGTCTACAGTAAGAGGGAGGCACCCATATACGTAGTTAACCCGACCACGAGATGGTTTCGACAACTTCCTCAAGCTAGGTTTCAGATATTAATGCATAAGGCAACATACACTCGGGAAACTTTTACAGACATTAATCCAGTCCCTCGACTAGCGTTCGCAAAGGCCACATTGTGTGATTATAAATTGGTGTGGTTATACAATTCTGATAAATACAATTCTGACGCCATGAGTTTAAACGATGGATTTACCAAGTGCGAGGTTTTCGATTTTAGGGCAAACGCTTGGAGATACTTGACTTGCACTCCAAGGTACCGAATATTTAACGACCAAACCCCAGCATCCGCAAACGGATTAGTTTATTGGCTCACGGAACGATACAATGGTGAAACCAAAGTTATAGTTTTTGATCTTCAAACTGAAACTTTTCGATTGCTACCTAAGAATCCAGCTGCTAGTTCACATCCAGACCATATCGACCTGTGCATTTTGGATAATAGACTCTGTATGTCGAAGAGAAAGCGCGGTACAATGATCCAAAAGATTTGGAGCTTGCAAGTATCATTAGAGGAGACAAGGACAAAGATTTATACTATAGATCTTCGATCTTGTTTATCATGGTCTCAATCTGGATTAATTGCTTTTAGTTGGACCCGCATGGATGTGATTCGACCATGCACACCGGTTGCGATATTGAAGAACAAGGAGATCCTACTCAATCATCGTTATGGTGATGGTCTGGTGAAGTATGATCCACAAACAAAATTTTACTCTTCAATTTACAATCATCTTTCTTGTAGTAGAGTTGTTCCTTATTTCCAGACTTTAATATCTCATATCTAAAACATTGCTTTAACAATCAAGAAGACCAACAAAAATAAAGAAACGATCTTACATCTTTGCAATCTCTTCAAAGAAGACGAATCTGAAACTTTTTCTCACTAAGTTTTTCTGGAGAGATAAAAAAAAAAAAAAACCCAACTTTCCAATGTAGTAAAAAACAAGAAATTACAGAACAAAACCTCTGTCTCTACAACTAAAACATCTTACAATGAACTCTTCTGCTTTTGATTACCAATTTCTTCCAACCGTTTCCATGTCGACTCGCGTTTTGCGTCAATTTCAGCTTCTTTCGATTCATCTTCTCTAAACTTAGCAAGACATTCCTTGAACAACTCTGCATCAATGTCATTAAATATCTTCTGCACGTTTAGTGTCAAGCTATGAACAGCTTGGTTCCAATGCTTCTGAGTGTTTCTTTCCAATGCAGGGAAAATGATTGGAAGAATCACTTTACGGTTCTGCATTATTAGATTCTCGATGTGATCGTTGTTCCATAAGAACAAAGCTCTTTCTGCAACCTGCAAAACAAAATAAAAATATACTCAACCTTTTGTTCTTTCTTGTGCTTGCTTATATAAAGATTCAAGCTTTCATCACAACTTGCACAATGAGTATGCAGGTACTAATCGATCTACGCTTAACAGAAATAATCACAAAGCTTTTAAGTCTATCAAATATCACACATTTCAATCTTGTGAAGAATTGTTCCCATCATTCATCATTCTCAGAATCAGCAAACCGTAGGAAAATACAATTACCTGAAAATGGAGACTGTTCAAACACCGAGCAACTTGGCGAAACAACGGGACCATACATCGCTGGAATTCTGGTGGTTGAGTTGCTTCTAATACTTCCTCTAGCTCGTTTAGAAACATGACTTCTTTGGAACTATTTGTGACGGGCCATGACTTGAGTAGTCCCCTTATAACCGTATCAGCAAGTTTGCAATCTTTTTCCACAAACTGTGTGATACAATAAGACAATTGCTGATGATACATTTGCAAGCTTTTTGGTTTGTGAAGAGGTACCAACGCTCTAACCAGAAACACTTTATGCTCATCTTTAAGCGGCAGAGCAAATCCATTGATGATACTTCCCAAAATCTCTAGAAACTCAGCAATCCCGTTATGTTTCTCAGTCTCGAAAACAAAGCGATAGAAAATGTTGTTAATGGATTTCCTTATGAAAGGACGATGAACCATAAATTTACCATAGATGCGATGTAGAACGGTCTTAAGACAATCTCTTTCTCTAGGATCCTCGGAATCAAATAAATCAAGTATCCGCGAGACAAAAGATTGGTCAATGTATTTCTTAGCCAGCTTGGTGTCTGTCTCGGGTGAAGCAATAAGCCGCAGGAGAATCTCATAGACAAGCTGCAAGTGAGGCCAAGTAGGATCCATAGAAGGCTCTTCTTCCTCCAAGTCTAAGGCATCAATAACTTTATTCTCGCGCGGTTGAGGATTCAAGGTTCTGAATATATTAACAGAAACCATTCTAACCACTTCTTGAATAACCGTTTCGCTGAACTTTCCATTGGGAGAAGCCACATAATCCACAAGCTCAAGCAATGTCTGCCGCTTAATCTCCTTTTCCTTAACGTTCTTCGTTGGATCCGAGAAATCGAACGTTACACAGCACAAGCTGAGTTTTTTCACAAACAAGTTCTGCTTTTCTGCATTTGGAACATCTTTAAAACCCGGCAATGCTTCATACGGCGTAAAACCGTTCCCATTTCCTTTCAAATTCCCATCTTTAAACCCTGAATCAGCAGCAGGTTTTACAGCAGGAGCGTTCTTGGTGTGAGAATTCCCCGGTTTCCCAGCGCCATTATCACTACTTTTGGAAGTAGATGCATTGGAACTAGATGAAGAAGAATGGCTCTTAGAAGAAGACTTCTTAGGAAGCTTACTTAGAATCTGTTTCCACATAGTTTATTAAACTCAGATTCTTCTCTGTTCATATCCCCAAAACAACACCTTATAAGAACAAATTCATCTGAAAAACAAAAGAAAGCAACATCCAGTAAAAATCAGATACTCAGATCAAGAACCTAAAATTGGTGAAGATATTATACTACAAACACACAAACTAGTTAAATCAAGAACCTGAAATGGAGAAAAATCCCTAAATTTACAAAATTTTGTTACAGCAAAACCATCTTTTTTCTTCTTCTTCCTTATTCACTCTCGAAACCCAGAAAAAGAAAAAAATCTTCACTCCAAACCAAAAAAAAATAGAAACTTTGGATTCTGATTCTGAAACAAACGCAATCACAAAATCAAAAAATCAAAGAGAAATCACACATTACAATCTCTGAAACAAGATAAATCGCAAAATCACAATTTTAGGGAAAAGTGACAAACAAAAAACAACAAAATTCGCCGATTGCACAAAACAAAGGTCAACAGTAGAAGAAGAAAAAAAAAACGATGAATAATGAAAACAAAAAACTTACAAAAAAAATCACATTCAAGTTCTTCTTCCAAAAAAAACTCCTTCGTTGTTGTTGATTGACTTCAAATTAACAATCTTTTTACCCTTTTAGATTTGCCTCAATGCGAATTGTTCTTGTTCTTAAGTTTTGTTTTCTTTCTTCTTCTTTGTGATTTGTGTCTTCTCGTGATCCAGTTATCTATCATTCTTTCTTCTCTCCGATGGCTGATCAAACTTTTTTTTCTCAATTCTATTTTAATTTAATTTTCATTTTTTTTTTATTCCCACTTATTTTAATATTGTTTTTTTTTTTTGTGTTCGGTCTGGCCTGCCAGGTCCTCCTATCACTTGAATTATTAATATTTACAGAATTTTCAAGCTGACACTTCACAATGTTTTAAATATCCACACTTTTTGGCCGACCGTAACATTTGTTATACGACATAGTTTTGAATTATGTAATAAACTCGGTTATTTATTGGTTTGGTGTTCGGTTTAGGGTTTGGTTATTGTTTCGTTTCAAAGAGTGTGTGTCTCATTCTTCTTTGTGACATTTTCCGTAGTTACTGGTGCTCCTTTGGGCAAAGAACTTAAGGATCCTAAAGATGTAATCAACCTCATGTCCTTGCTTGATCCCTCTACTGAAAAGAGCAATGCCATTTCGACAAATCGTAGGTAGAGAATAGTATGAATTTTCTAGCAAGATTGTTTTATGAGCTTGAAATTTTTGTTGTTAATGATGGATTTTGAATTGATTTTAAAAATATGATAGCCAACATTTTAAGTAATAAGCGGTTTTACTAAGAAGTTGTCAGGATCGAAGTAGTTTCTTTCAGTAAATACATTCCACTTTTATAGTTATCAATCACTAAAACGGTAACACTTAAGTTCGATATTTTTATGCCGTTAATCTGTTATCTTTTTAATAAAAAAAAATTGATATCGTTTACCGTTATTTTCGTGCTAATTTTTTTTACTAGTTTATATCACAAAAACATTCTTACCAAAACCTTAAATATGTAATTATCCTTATCCAAAACCAAATCTCAAGACTAAAAAAAAAAACCTTAATTAAAGTTAAAACCTTTTTTTTTTGGCTTTCCACATTTCATTTTGTGCGTAGGGGGGCTTGTGTTGTTGTTGACGGTGGTGGGAACAAAGGAACATCATATCCATTGTCTCTCCTGATACACTGCAATGTTCATTTCCGACAAATCTCGTCCTAGTACTGATTTCTACAAAGACGATAATCCCAATTCCTCCACCACCACAACACGCGATATGATGATCGATGTCACCACTACCAACGAATCAGTAGATCTACAATCTCATCACCACCACAATCACAATCACCACAATCGTCATCTCCACCAACCTCAGCCACAACAACAGATTCTCCTCGGAGAAAGCAGTGGTGAGGATCACGAAGTTAAAGCACCAAAGAAACGAGCAGAGACATGGGTTCAAGACGAAACTCGTAGCTTAATCATGTTCCGTAGAGGTATGGATGGTTTATTCAACACATCCAAATCTAATAAGCATCTCTGGGAACAGATTTCTGCTAAGATGAGAGAAAAAGGGTTTGATCGATCTCCGACTATGTGTACTGATAAGTGGAGGAATCTATTGAAAGAGTTTAAGAAAGCAAAGCATCATGATAGAGGAAATGGATCAGCTAAGATGTCGTATTACAAGGAGATTGAAGATATTCTTAGAGAGAGGAACAAGAAAGTGACACCACAGTATAATAAGAGCCCTAATACACCACCTACATCAGCCAAAGTTGATTCCTTTATGCAATTTACTGATAAAGGTATAAACTTTGGCTTAGTTTTAGCAATCTATTTGTTTGGCATGAATTGCAGGTTTCTTGATTTGGATTGAGGGAACCTAACTGTGATTATGGTTTTTGTTGCTACAATTTGGGAAATTCTTTATCAGTATCTTAGGCTGAGAAGATACTACATTTTAGAGTAGGTTACTTAATGTGGTTTCAGTTATCCTTAAAGAAGATGATTGTTATGGTAAACGAATCTGGTTATGTGGATTTTGTGCTTTTAATTTTCTTTTGTTTAAGTGGTAACTTTATCTTTCATTGTAGGTTTTGATGATACGAGCATTTCTTTTGGATCCGTTGAAGGTACTTATCTACCACTATTGTGTGTTTATTATAGTGTAAACAAAGAGGCGAGATTTGTTTGTCTACTGCCTCTTGTAGTTGTCTTTTAAGTTGGTGTAAAACTCCTGTCTGAGTGAGCAATAGTAGAGGTCTTAACTTGCTTTGTGAACATTTGGGACTGGAAACAAATAGTTGCATTTGCGAGATGAAAGTTATCGGTAGTCTGAGTTTTCTGTAATTGGAACAAAGAGGTGAACATGACTGTGCCGTAGAATTCACAGACATGTTTGTGTTAGATGGTTTAGTTTAGTTTCTAGAGGATGTGTGTGCTTGTTTGATAAGTGTTTATATCTATGTTCTAGCTAATGGCAGGCCAGCCTTAAACCTTGAAAGGCGTCTTGATCATGATGGTCATCCTCTTGCAATCACTACTGTTGATGCTGTTGCTGCAAATGGAGTTACCCCTTGGAATTGGAGAGAGACTCCTGGAAACGGCAAGTCTCAGAAAAAGCTTATATAACTTAAGCCTCAAAGTTTAATTTTCTAAAAGGCCAAAGATATGTTTTTTGAATTTATGTTCCAAGCAAGGTGTAATATGTATAAGAATCGACGTTTTCTAATTCTTGAGAACCAAAATCACTCTCATTTTGAGTTGCTTCACAGCCTCTGTTCCTCTGCTTGATTTATTTTTCCGGTCTCTTTATAACTGAGTAGAGCTTTTTATTTGTTTCATGTTTATACACGCAGGTGGTGATAGTCATGGTCAGGCTTTTGGTGGGAGGGTCATAACAGTGAAATTTGGTGACTATACAAGAAGAATCGGCGTTGATGGTAGTGCAGAAGCAATTAAAGAGGCAATCAGATCTGCTTTTGGGTTAAGGACTCGACGAGCTTTTTGGTTAGAAGATGAAGATCAGATTATTCGCTGTCTTGACCGAGACATGCCCTTAGGGAACTATCTACTCCATCTCGATAATGGTGAGGTTAAATTTGACACCATTCGTATCTTTTGAACTATGTGTTTTTTACTGAATTCTCAGTATGCAAAACCCATCTTGCAGGACTGGCCATTAGGGTTTGCCATTATGATGAATCCAACCAATTACCAGTCCATTCAGAAGAGAAAATCTTCTACACAGAAGAAGATTACCGCGATTTTCTGGCTCGACGGGGATGGACATGCCTGCAAGTTGATGGTTTTAGGAACATAGAAAACATGGATGATCTTCAACCTGGTGCCGTGTACCGAGGTGTGAGATGAGAAAATGAGATCACAAAACTTCTTCTCCAAATCTATCAACAGTGCATCTAATCAGAAAACAGTCCCCTGTAGATATGATCTCATTCCTTTTATACATTTCTTCCTTCCCCCCCTCCCCCCTGAGAAGAACAAGGAATGTACTTGCTCAAATATGACATATCAACTTGCATTTGCCGTACAGACCAATAAGACCTCAAAATTGTTTTTTGTTCTGGTACATTTGTAAGAACAGGACATAAGAGAAGTGAATAAAATGTTCACCATCAGACGAGCGAGTGTGACTGTGTGGTGTCAGAGTCACTCTTCATCCCCTTTGTTGTTCTTGTATGAAATGAGTGTGTCGACCTTGTGAATCTGCATAGTCAGAGAAACTTTCAGAACTTATACTACTGAGAAAACAGTAGAATGATTTGATTAACAAACACAAATCTTTCACTTTTTGGTTTACATTAGTATTAAAAGAATGCAACTTAACCACTCTCTGCGGATTCGATCAACTTGGGATCGCTCTCGATCCAGGTGAATGGTACAGCCACATCGGTATCAGTATATGCCAACACATCAGACACACCTTATCCAATCACCAAGCCTATTATTAGCATTTAGATTAACAATGAAGAGGAATGTGAAACTCTCTCTCTTACATGTTTCATGGAGACAAGGCAAGGAAGTTATGCTGGAAGCAACTTTTCTCATTATAGCTTGAATCTCCCTCGTGATCTCCTGATCACTTTTATTCCTTGAGACACAGTGAAAGGACAAAGACAGAATCAAGACAGCATAAAACATCACAAACATCCAAAGCATAAACAGAATCAAGACAGCATAAACACCATAAACATACAAATAAAAGAGTAATAATATGCATTTAAACTGAGTTGATTGAAATGTTTTTGCATAAATAAACCAACTTATCTAGATCTAAACCACACGTAAGTGGACTAACATTGGTTATAAGTAGATCATCACGAATAAGATTCCATTAGTTAAAGTTTGCATCAATAATTGTTTTTGTCGAGAGGGTTGCATCAATTATTGCATCTTTCTTTCTATCTTTTTTTCTTTCTCTTAGAATCGAATTTTAACATATACTTTGATAATGATATATTTTGGTTCTTTTCACTTCACGATTACTTAATCTTTGTGAATAATGACACTTCACAATGAAAGGGATAAAAGCCGGACAATAATAGGGAATTTTGAAAATAACGTAAGAAAATTCCACAAAATCACCAAATAAATTTCAGATATTCAAAAAAAAATACATGCACGTTATGTTATAAATTTTAAAAATATGGTTTCCAACAAAAATAAATTTGGTTTCTTGTAACAAACCAACGTGAATTAATTTTACAAAGAAGAACGAATCACAAAAAATAATCGTTTATAAATCATATTGTATAACTTATCAGTCGAAGAGAATGGCTGACACTTGACGGGTCAGTTATAACTTATAGTCTTGGACTCTTGGAAATGATCATGAGTTATAGAAAGATCACAAACTTCAATCCATAATATATTTTTGACGGCCGATAATATTTTAGCTATTTATTGGATGCATAAAGATCCATATGAATACCAAAAGAAGGAGTTTTATAATCCATTTACCTAACACAAAATTGAAATGGAAATAGAAAAGAGAACAAATAAGAGGAGGAGAAGAAGGAGACTTTAGGCAAAAGCCAAGAGTCATACATATACCAATTACATAAGGTGTGATGTTTTTTTTTTGCTGTCACATTCATCTGACCTACCAAAGCTCTCTAAGTGGAGCATCTATTTGTCTTGGTATGAAGTCACGATTTGATAAATATATAACACCATATGTTGTGTCAAATTATAAATATCTTGATATACAGTAAGCAACACATTATTTTGATAAAGACATCTACAAGCATCTTCTTATGAAATGTACACCTCTAAATTGATTAAAACAAAGCACCATTAAATATAGTGATCAAAAGTCAAAATCTTCATCTTGATTATTCTAAAACAATGGTTGAAGTAAAAATGTTGTTGAATGTTGAGTGATAATTGGCATTTGAGAGTAACTTTCACTATAATGAATGTTGATCTGATAATAATTTACCTCGAAGGGTATCACAAATTCACAACCTCGAAATTGGAAGTGACAGTGTTGTTGTTACTTGTTACGCAATATGAAAAAAAAAAAAAAAAAAAAAGAGCTTAATATTGGAGAAACATTGGAATTATTATGGTAATTAAATAACTTTTTTTTTTGGCTTGATTTAAAACAAAAATCTGCTACGTTGCAGTCTTGCGTGCACCGGCCCAGCCCATAGGATCTAAGTTTAAAACCTCGAATATTCCATCAGCCTGCGCGTGAAATGCAAGCGCCATTAGTTTTCCCAAATCCGTTCTTAATCCTACCATAAACAATGGGTAAAAACAGTGTCAAAAAAATGGTAAATAAGAAGAAAAGTAAAGTACAATATAGTAACATTAAATAGTGAATCTAATCTATAAACTTTTTTCCCAAGAAAAATTCTGAGCCACTCGATATTTCATCATCACGTTCTTCTTCTCTTTTAAATAACCCTAAAGCCTCACCAAACCCTCACTCACTAATTTCACATTCTTCTCTCTCGATATCATCTAAATCTCTCGATCTCAAATTTCGAAAATGGGTGAGCTTCTCTCGCTCTTCCTGATCTGCGTTTCTTCGATTTATTGTTTCGTCGTTGATGATTTTGTGAATCTGATCGTGATATTGATTTTCTCTTTTGGTTTATGTAGCTGACAAGAAGATCAGAATCGGAATCAACGGTGAGTGTTTTTCTTATCGAAATCCAAAGGTTTTTGTTAGTTTTGAGTAATTTGGAGTCTGAGTTTTTTGATCTTGGTGAAGGTTTCGGAAGAATCGGTCGTTTGGTTGCTAGAGTTGTTCTTCAGAGGGATGATGTTGAGCTCGTCGCTGTCAACGATCCTTTCATCACCACCGAGTACATGGTTCGTTTCTTCTTCTCTTCGATACTAGTTCGATCTGGATTTGAGTTAATAGATTTATCTCAATTTTTGTTAATCTACTTGATAGATCTGAGAACCGCTTTGATGTATTCTTCTTCTATGTTGATTCTCTGTGAATTTGTTTTGATTGAATGTGTTTATGGTATTATGGATTTGTTGCAGACATACATGTTTAAGTATGACAGTGTTCATGGTCAGTGGAAGCACCATGAACTTAAGGTCAAGGATGATAAAACTCTTCTCTTCGGTGAGAAGCCAGTCACTGTTTTCGGTATCAGGTACATAATCTTTGTGGATTTTATATCTGTGTTTCTCTGTTATGTGATTGAGACTTGTGAAATTCATATTTGTGGTGTTTTATTTCATGAAGGAACCCTGAGGAGATCCCATGGGGTGAGGCTGGAGCTGACTTTGTTGTTGAGTCTACCGGTGTGTTCACTGACAAGGACAAGGCAGCTGCTCACTTGAAGGTTTGAATTAGGATCTTCATGTAACATAAGATTCGAGAACTTGTTTATATGATCTAAATCGTCATATTGTTCGTTATTATTCAGGGTGGTGCTAAAAAGGTTGTCATCTCTGCACCAAGCAAAGATGCTCCCATGTTTGTCGTTGGTGTCAACGAGCATGAATACAAGTCTGATCTTGACATTGTTTCCAACGCTAGTTGCACCACTAACTGCCTTGCTCCTCTTGCCAAGGTATCTTCTTCTACTTGTGTAATTTGTTCGGAATTCTGAATTTTGAGTTGAATCATTTCTCTTACTGTTGCAATTTGTTTATGCAGGTTATTAACGACAGATTTGGTATTGTTGAGGGACTCATGACCACTGTCCACTCTATCACTGGTACGTACCTAGTTTCATTATTTTGATTCTTGAAAATATATATTTGAATTTGATTCAATAATAACTGTTGTTTTGGTAATCAGCTACTCAGAAGACTGTTGATGGTCCATCAATGAAGGACTGGAGAGGTGGAAGAGCTGCTTCCTTCAACATTATTCCTAGCAGCACTGGTGCCGCCAAGGTATCATTTCAGGCTCTTTTGTTAATTTTGATTGAGAAATTATGTTGTTTCTAATTTTTGTATCATGCTTGTTAATAGGCTGTTGGGAAAGTGTTGCCATCCCTCAATGGAAAATTGACTGGAATGTCTTTCCGTGTTCCAACCGTTGATGTCTCAGTTGTTGATCTCACCGTTAGACTTGAGAAAGCTGCAACATACGATGAAATCAAGAAGGCCATCAAGTAAAAACCGTCAACACTCACTTGCTCTTAGCCGCATATAAATAGATATTTGATGACTTACAATGATTTTGGTTAAACTTTCTTTTCAGGGAGGAATCTGAAGGCAAACTGAAGGGAATTTTGGGATACACCGAGGATGATGTTGTGTCTACTGACTTTGTCGGTGACAACCGGTATGTAAATTATCATCTGTAGATTGATTGATTCAGTTTTCTGATGTTATAAATGGCGAGAACAAATAATTGAATGTTGGGTTTGTGCGTGTAGGTCAAGCATATTCGATGCTAAGGCAGGGATTGCATTGAGCGACAAGTTTGTGAAGTTGGTGTCATGGTACGACAACGAGTGGGGTTACAGTTCTCGTGTCGTTGACCTTATCGTTCACATGTCAAAGGCCTAAGGTTACACCAGCAAGTGTTTGTGTGTTGAGTCGTACTGTTCTGAATAAAAAAAGAGAAGAAAAAAAACACTCGAGTTTTATCTATCTTTCACTGATTCCATGCGCAGTCATGAGAGTTTGTAGCTTTTTTTGCTTTTTGCTTTCTATTAATGTTTCCCTGCTTTGAAAGTTGAAACCATTGGTTTGGTTTTTATGTTAATGAGTTTAGTTCATTGATTTTCGTGGTAACTCAAACCCAACTGGCAACTGCAACATGACACGTCCACTTCTCATATCTTTAATGGTCTATTGTACTTGAGCTCTCAATCAAAATAGTTCCAAAAAAACTATGACCAAAATGGCTCTTCTAGTCACATAGCTCACTCTATATCAATCATCTTGACAAGCATCGTTGACATCTTTGTAAGATGATTGATTTAAATAATTTTATTCGCAAACTTTTTAAATTAACAGAAAACTCATATTTTCAATAGTAGCATGTTATGGCATGTGATAATATGATAGTTTATTAGTCTTAAATGAAGTGACATAGGAGTTAGTTATTTAGTGATGAACCAAAGGAACAAAGCAGTTTATCAAAGAGAACAAAAACCACACACATCAATTATAATGTTACATCACAGTAACAATATATATGACAAAGCACACATAATTCTAGAATTTCAAACCGGAACCTTTGAGTTTCTCCTCGATGATCATATCGATTTTGTTTACCATTTCAGGGGTCATATAACTCTTCCAGTCACCAACTTGTCCTTTACGGAAATAAGTCTTGAAATCTACTCCATCTAACGTTCCAGTTTTGTTGATCTCCAAACTGCTTAGATTACTTAGAGAGCAAAGTTCCAAGATCTTATCTACAGATCCGCTATCTTCCTCTTCCTTAGTGAATGGACAATCCAAGAACTCCGCAAGTCTCTTAACCTGAGTACGAGGCTCCGCTTTGAACTCCTCGTACATCATGAAAAGAACATGCTTTGGATCTTCCAAGCTGCCTTGCCAATAGCTCAAAGCATGGTCCTCAAAGGGACCGTATAAGGTAACTCCGTTGCAGAATGACTCAAACATAGCCTCGAAAGAGTGATCATCCACTCCACTGATCTTTTCGCTTTGGCTGAAATCTCCCCATTCTACTCCCTTGTTGGCATTGAGGAAATGCCAAAGAGACACCAACACGTCTTTCACGTTCCTGCACACGTACACGATCTTGCAAGATGACTCCTTCAAGGGTGCTTTAAGCGCATCCAACGACATGTGAGTTGAGAACAATCTCGGAGATAATGATGATGATAAGAACTTGGTCAAGTCCGGTTTTGAGCTTTTGAGATACAGATCGAGCTCGAGGTACGGCACTATCTCATGAGGATTATGAGATAGCAGAGGATGATTATCTTCTTCTAAGGGATGTTTTGATCGTTGAATGAGTGCAAATGTGAGTGCCTTGAGCCAAGTCGTGCCCGATTTGGGGAAAGCAGCAACAATTATATCGGTTTCTTGTGGTTGAAAACTCTTGTGGAAATTGGGGATTGCTTGGAGAATGTCTTCGTAGTACCAATATCCTTGGTACTTGAACAGCTTGTTCCCAAGGTAATCTATCTCCCAAGGAAGTGAAGAGATCGAACTTTTGGTTTCTTCACTTAGGTTTTCTTCTTCTTCTTCTTCTTCTTCCCTCAAGTTCCTTGGAATATCTTTTTCATCCATTTTTTTTGGCTGTTGTTTTGTTTTGTTTTGCTTCGATTCATATATTTAGTACATGGACACTTCACCTACATACACGGAGTCTTTTTTATATATATACGAACATGGAGTCTTTTTAATGTTGAGATTCGTATCTTCTAATATATTGTTAAAAAGATATGACCCCTTTTTTTCTTACAACCACACATTAAATTAAAGGGTAGATAAAAATTAATGGTTTTTAATGTTTAATTTTTTAAAAAACTAAGTAGACTAAATAGGATACAATGAAAAAGATGTAGTGATGTATTCGATGCTAAGGCAAGGATTGTATTGAGCCACAAGTTTGTGAAGTTAGTACCATGACTCCAACTTATGTTTTAAAATATTCCGATTTGTTGAAACAGAGGCTCCAAATTGGAACTTAGCATTTATTTGGAGAGATCCAACTTTTGGTTGACATTTCTGTAAATTGAGCAAATGAGCAAAGCAGTAGAGAAATTTGCTTTATTGATCAAAGGAAACAAAAACTCACAATTTTAAACTCTTAACCTTACACATCGAAGGAGCAAAGTAACTTCTATTACATTGCATTCAAGAAAAGAACAAACCGGCATTAATTATTAGGTTTGAGATTAATTAAACCTGTTCCACACATATGTAGAGATATAAACTCTACAATTTCAAACCAGAACCTTGAAGTTTCTCCTCAACAATCATGTCGATTTTTTTCTCCATTTCAGGAGTCATATAACTCTTCCAATCACCGACTTCCCCTTTACGGAAAAAGCTCTTGAAACTTACTCCTTCCGACAATTTTCCTGTTTTGTTGATCTCCAAACCGCTCAGGTTTCTTAGAGAGCAAAGTTCCAAGATCTTGTCTACACCTCCGTTGTCTTCTTCTTCCTTTGTGAATGGACAATCCAAGAACTGAGCAAGTTTCTTGATTTGCTCACGAGGCTCCGTTTTCAACTCCTCGTACCTCAATAAAAGAACCTGCTTAGGATCATCTAAGCTTCCTCTCCAATAGCTTAAGACATTTTCCCATAAGGGACCGCATAAGCTAACTCCGCTACAGAAAGACTCGAACAAAGCCTCGAGACTTACATTGCTTTCTCCACTCATGGAGTTTTCGAAACACCAAAGTGATACCAACACGTCTTTCACGTTCCTGCACACGTACACAATCTTGCAAGGAGACTCCTTCAAGGGTACTTGAAGCGCATCGAACGACATGTGAGTTGAGAACAATCTCGGATATGATGATGGTAACTTGGTCAAATCCGGTTTCGAGCTTTTGAGATACAGATCTAGCTCGAGGTACGGCACTAGCTCATGAGGATTGTGACTTAGCAGAGGATGATGGTCTGAAGGGTGTTTTGATCTTTGAGCTAGTGCGAATGTGAGTGCCTTGAGCCAAGTCGTACCTGATTTGGGGAAAGAAGCAACAATTATATCGGTTTCTTGTGGCTGAAAGCTCTTGTTGTAATTGAGGATTGCTTGGAGAATGTCTTTGTCGTACCAACATCCTTGGTACTTGAACAACTTGGTCCCAGAGCAATCTCTGTCTGAAGGAAGTGAAGAGATCAAACTTTCACTTAGGTCTTCATTTTCGTCCTTCAAGTTCCTTGGAATCTCTATCTCACCCATTTTATTTTATTTTTGCTTCCGTGTCGCGAGTGTTGTGACTTATTGCAATCGCAAAATCACTTTTTATAGTGTTGCATGTTACTTTTTATAGTGTTGCATGTTACTTTTGGATTAAGGGAAGTTGATCAAGCACTCACGTTATATCACTTCCCTTAATCCAAAATATAGAAAGAAACAAAATGAAGAGATTTTGTTTACCTAATGGCTAATGTGTATCTTTGAAATCTTGAGAGATCCGTTATAACGTGGTGGTTGAATTATTTTCTTCAGCCCGTAATTATAAAACTGTTAATTAAATTACAAACATATAAAAGTCCAACTAACTTATATTTGGATTTTAGCCCCAACCAAAACTTGTATTTGGAGTATAATTAATATCAAACAGATTAAATATTATTTTTCGTATAGATCGAATTAAGGGTTGGTGGCATAAGAAAAGAAGCATGTTATGATTTCTATATGAAACTGACAACATGATTTGTAAATTGTTTTAAGAAAATGTTAACTAATACGAATTCTTTCCTTCTTTTTTAATACAAATTTATTTACCTCAAGAGTATGAAGTTTTCTCTTCCACATTGCAGAACGTTCTTCCCAGCAAATTCCGGAGATGTAAAAAATCTTGACAAAAACTTCTCTATAAGATTGCATAAAATGGGCTTGAAGTTCTTCTCCTTCAACAAGAAGGATGTTGAAGTAATGAAGTTGAAGCTCTTCAGCTATCAATAGACAAAACAGAAAGAGCATAATGAAGAAAAATTTAACTATTGTGCTACATCAGATTTTTTTGTTAATTTATGAATTTTACTAATACATACAATACATTACAAAATTTAAAACAAGAAAATAGTTTTCCCACTGCCAGGCTTTGAACCTGGTAAGTTCAGCAATTAAGATGAATTAAGCCAATGTGCTACAGAAGATCTTTTGTTAAACTATGAATATTTACTAATATATACAATACCAAAAAAGTATAATTATAAAATTTAAAACAAAAAAAAAAAGAATTTCCGCTGCCGGGCTTTGAACCCGGTAAGTTCGGCAATAGAGATGAATTTAGCCAGTGTGCTACAGCGGATCTTTTATTAATCTGTGAATAATAAATAATATATACAAGATCAAAACGGATGGTTACAAATTTTAAAAAAGTGATCCGCCGTCGGACTTCGAATCCGAGAGATCGGCAATCAAGACTAGTTATACCAGTGCTACAACGGATCTTTCGTTAAACTCAAACCTTGAAATACTTCTTGTGACCCATTCCATTCATGATCTTGTTGACCTCCTAAACGCTTAGATTACAAAAGTATAAAACCTCGTCTACTAATTTGCTCTCTTCTTCTTTTGCGGTAAATGGACAACTCAAGAACTCAGCAACCTTCTTTAGCTGAGCACAAGGCTCTTTGTAAATTGCTTTACGAAATTGTGAAGTAATACAAATTCCTATACCTCAAGACTCAAGAGTACGAGCTTTCCGCTTCCACATTGCAGAATGTTTTTTCACAGCAAATTCCGGTAATGGAAAAAAGTTCAATCTTGACAAAAGCTTCTGCAAAATTACATAAAATGTTCTTAAAGTTCTTCTTCTTCATCAAGAAGGATGTTGAAGCTCTTCAGCTCTCCCAAGATCCTCTGTAATTCCTCTGTTCGAGGATGCTTCTCTCCCGAAGAATAAAACTTCACTAAACCATCATCGGTCTCGATCCAGCTAATCCCTGCTTCTTTCTTAAACCCGGTGTCTCTCATAGCAACTTTTAGCCTTGCAGCATCATCAAATCTTCCTGCATCTCCATAGATGTTTGAGAGCATCACGAAATTAGCCGGGTTTCTTGGTTCAAGCTTGATCAACTCTTTAAGAGCAAGTTCGCCAGTGTCCACCTTCTTATAAACCTTTGAAGCTCCAAGTAGAGTAGCCCATATAACAGCATCCGCTTTTACCGGCATTTTGTTTATGAACTCAACAGCTTGTGTTAAAAATCCAGCCCGTGATAGCAAATCCACTACACAACCGCAATGCTCGATCTGAGGCGTGATTGAGAAATCAGTAAACATGGAATTGAAATAAGCCAAGCCATCTTCAACCAAACCCATGTGTTTACAGGCACATAAAACACCGACGAATGTTACCTTGTCAGGACTAATTCCGCAATTTTTCATCTCATGGAATAAATCTAAGGCCTCAGTTCCATGTCCATGTGCAGCTAAACCGTTGATCATGGTATTCCAACTTATCAAATCTCTTCTCTTTATTCCTTTGAAAACTTCCATAGCTATCTCTATAGCTCCGCATTTTCCATACATATCAATCAAAGCATTCTTAACGTTAACATCTACCTTATTATACCCAAGATTTTCTCCATACTTATGTACCCGTTTCCCGAAATCAAAAGCTCCTAACTTTGCACAAGCGGATAAGACTAAAGTCAATGTTGCATCGTTTGGAAAAACACTCCCTTCATCTACCATTCTCTTAAAAGAACCCAACACTTCAGAAACCCGCCCATTTTGAGCATAGCCCTTGATCAAACCATTCCAAGAGAACACATTTCTCTCCAGCATTTCATCAAAAACCCTTTCACATGCTTCCATATCTCCAATATTTGCATAACCCTCTAAAACCGTATTCCACGACATGACATCCCTACAAGGCATTTGATCAAAAAGACTCCTAGCCTCCATCATATTCCCCATTTCAATATAACCAGCTACCATAGTGTTCCACAACACAATATCTCTCTCAGGCGACAAATCAAAATATCGTCGAGCAGAGACTAAGTCCTTATTCAAAAGATACCCATTGATCATCGAAGTCCAAATAACTACATTTTTCTCAACCATCTCACAAAACACCTTATTCGCCGATACTATCACTCCGGCACATGAGTACATCTCAATCAACTTAGTTCCTAAATAAGCATTTGACCTAAACCCTGTTTTTATCGAAAATCCCTGTAACTCCTCTCCCTGTCTAAGATCCTTAACCATCACGCAAGCTTTTAAAACTACCGGAAGAGTAAAACAATTGGGCATCACATCGAAGCTTCTCATTCTCTTGTACAACAACAAAACTTCGTTAGACAAATCTTTTTGCGCATACCCATTGAACATAGCGTTCCAAACAGAAACATTTGGTTGAGAGATTCTGTCGAACACTTGGCGTGCATAACTAATTCTCGTGATTCCACAACAAGCAGCGACGATTCTCGGAGCCACATAATCATTCTGCGCTAACTCGTGAGTTATGGTTTGTGACTGAATTTGAAGAAGCTGTTTCTGGGTTTTACATGATTCCAAGAAAGAGATGAGCTTTTCTTCCAATAGCCTCTTTGGTGATTTAGAAGCTGAAACTAGAGAAACTCTCGCAATTTTCGATATTTCAGGAACAAACGTAACAAATTCGTCGCGAGAAAACAATAAAGTATAAGTCTTTCCTTAGACAATTCGATGAAAGCTCCCAATGAGAGTGTTTCGATTTAGCGCCTTTTAGTTCACAATCAGATTCCGAAAGTGGAGGGACTTGAAGTCAAAGTCAATACCTTCTCAACGACTTAGAAGGTTAGGTTAATAATTGTAAAAAATAATCCAATTTAAATATGATTAATTTTGTTATTTCAGAGTTTAGCTAATACTTTTGAATTTGTGTACCGAAACTACTCAGCCTATAAAATATAGGGAACTATTATGAAATTGCATTACTTAAAAAGCATACCAAAAATAAACAACAATGTATCATATCTATAAGAAGTAAAGTAAATAAAAGTATGCTTATAGGAGTGTGTAATAGAGATGGGCGGTGTCATTGTATAGGAACAGCAGATGCAGCCTATTCTAATAATATAGCAATCGGTAATTGAACCCTAACTTTTTTTTATTTGCATAAATAGAAAAAGTTTTGCTTTCCTTTTGAAACACATCTAATTTTCTTAGCCCCTACTTACCCGTTTCCCTCTTATTTAAACAAGTATCATGTTTTCCTTTTTTACTATTTTCATGAGATTCAGGGATATTACTTGAATTGGTGTCCTCTATAATCTAGATAGATGCACACCTATCTTGTGATGTTATGTCACTACTTCAATGTTTTTATTTTTTATGTATGTGCTTATATAGTATGCATTTATTTTCAATGTGTTTTTGTTTTTTGGGTAGATGTGAATGATTGATGATCACTAGTTCACTACATGTGTTTATTAGATTCATCTTAGGATCATATTGCACATTTACAAGTACATGCATGTTAATTTTTCTCAAAATGGAACAAAGAAAGGAGTGTACACATATATTCACAATCAAAAGGAGTGGGTATACATAGGTATATAGGAGTAGAGTAGAGTTGAAATTGAGGAGCAAAACTATGAAATGGTAAAAGCTGATTTAAGGGAATAGGGTTTGTAATCGACAGAGTACTGAAAACAAAAGAAACTTAACTGCATCAATGAGTCCTTCCACAGTTGTGTCTATGACTCAGACTCAGACCAACTTATCTTTTTAATAAGTTTAACTTATTCTCTCATACACATATCTATATTGATCCACTCAATCTCTCTCCCTTCGCTTTCTGATTATTTATTTATTTTTAAATATGCATATGCCTCTTGGGAAGACTGTAAATACAATCTAGGGTTTAGCCTTCTTTCACAAAACCATGATATGTTTCTTCTTTTCATGTATAGCTCTTTTTTTTCTCCTTTTATCACACAAACATGCTTGAGCTTTGATATCATATGTTCTCTCTCTCTCTATCTCTTATTGATCACTACTTTTGAATGATTTACATGATACGAAATGAGTTTTTTAGTTTAGGTGTTGGATTTTCTTAGATTTGCAATGTAATTTGAATGTTTTTTTTTTCTTGTTTACACGAACTATTGTGCCTAGAGTACACCAAATAAAAACCGATTTATTTCATATTCTTTTTCACAAGACCTCTACGTATAATCTAACGATGAATTGGCTAACATAAAGATAATCCAAATATAAAGACGATAGAAAAACAATTGTTTCAAAAAATATAAAAGATTGATCTCCACAGCAAATAGTGGACGAGTTAGTTAGAATTCAACTAGTTAATGTCCAGATCTGACTTGATCTTTCCTCTCTCTAGTCACTCCAGTTCTATTTTTTTCACCGGAGGGAAAAAAACATATATAGAACGATAAAACACCCTAGGTATAGTCTCACAAAACAGCTCCAAGACAAAAAGTAGATGATAAGAAAAAAACAAAATAAAAATAGATAAAAGCTGCTCCTACATACATATACAATCTTCTTACATAGCCCCAAACAACACACGCCCTCTCCAATTTGCATTTCACTTTTTGTCGTTTTCAATTACTTTGTCATGTCTCTTTCAATATTCCCACAAAACTATCTATAAAATTTAGACACTTGATGGATATATTAAAGTCTAACATTTAATAAAAATCCAAATTTGAAAAGAAAAATCCAAAAAAGAAATACATTTTCCATTTTTTTATTATTATAGCCCATGATGTGGAGGTAAAGGTAGAGGAGCAACTCTAGAACCATTAGCCACTGGTGCTCCGATGAAAGTGTAACTCGAGTCAGCTAGTGCACGAGCACCGCAAACGCTATTGGTTAGGATTTGGTGATGTGAACCGTTGTTGCCTAGATAGTAATCGTTGGTGTGATGGTGAGGAAACGGTGGTGACGGAGGAGGATAAAGAAATGGTGGCTGCAGCTGGAGGGCGGAGGAAGAGGCGGAGAAGGAGCTAGAGAAAAGTCTTGGTGGATACATCATTGGTTTGAATGATGTTAGGTCTCCTATATGCACATCTCCTTGATGATAACTATATAGAATTATATCAAATTGTTAATTACAATGATATTTATAGTAAGATCAAATGTAAAATGAGTTAAACCTTGTTTAAGAAAATAGAAAGTAAAATACCTAAACGATGGAAGTCCTTGATGAGGAGGAAAGCTATCGTTGCGAAGAACAAGTTCACGAGCTTTGTTTAGTGACTCCGTCTCTCTTTCTAAATTCACCATTAAACCCAAATCAATAAACTACAAAATTTATGTGTATATACATAATATAGAGAATAGAGGGATCTTGCCTTGACGGTGGCGGTTCATGTGGCCACCTAGAGCTTGAGATTTGAAGAACTTTAGTGAACAAAATCTACATTCATACTCTTTCCCGTCTTTGGTTTGCTTCTCTCTAAACCCTCCTACTCAATAATAAAGATTAATAGCTTAATTAGATTTATCTAAATTAATACTTATATGTACGTCTAATGATTAGATCAAAGCTTTTTTGGTTTCCAAACCTTAATTTACTATTATGGAGTTGACTCTAGTATCATATTTATTACAAAACATGCACTCACCCAAAGCAGAAGGTGGGGATATTAATTTAACTATTTATAAAATTTTATTCAAATAAATTAAAGAAAAAGGGAGAGTAGAATAAACTAGAGTAGTGTGTACCAGAAGAGGAAGAGGAAGAGGAGCCTTCTTCAAAGAAAGGGAAAATGTCTCTAGAAGGATCATCAGGTAAGTTATTAAGATCTAAAGTGTTATTATCATCAGCTCTCCTGCAATTTTTTTACATTTTTAAATTTTAGAATCAGATTTAGTTAGAGAGATAATGAGAGAGAGAACATACATGGTTACCAAGAAGACAGGAGAGGAAGAAACTTGTAAGGATAAAGACTTGATGGAGTGAAGATGGAGATAAAGAGAGCTTTGTGAAATTTCTTTTAATCAGTTTCTCTTTCTCTTTATTTCTCTCTTTAGCAATGAGAACATTGAGCATGGAACTCAAAGTGGAAGGCGTTGTGACTTTTATACATGCAAGAAGCTTGTGGGGACTTTATGGGTCAAGGTATCCCTAATTAGTATATATAATGGTCAAATTCATATATACATATAACAAGTCCAATATCAGAAAATTTATTGTTAATAATTTTGTGTGATATTATATCCAATTGATTTTTTATTTTTACTTTACTTAGAAATAAACACAAACTTAAACATAAATATCTCCATTTCTTAGAACATTTAGCAATTTCTGTGTTTTGTGAGCGATAGTACTTGGATCGGACCAAATGTTTAGTTTGCTATAGCTTCTGACTAAGAAGAAACATAACGAATCTTGTAATAATGATTTTCTTGCAAATTCATTCACAAAAAAATATAAGACTAACCATAGGATTACAAATGAATAAAACTAAATTATGTATTGCATCATGAAATTGATCTAATTTTAAGCTAAAGATCAAATTCCAAAACCTATCTTTTCTCTAGTCACTGTCGAATTCACATATAATAACTGTAGAGTCAGTACGAGTTTCAATTAAAATCTCACAGTTCCAAGAAAGAAAAAAATTGAACGTTCTTTTAATTTTTGTCGAATCTTTTCAGACCACCTATTTTTTTTGGAAATTAAGAAAGAGGCAGCCTCTAAATTAGCAAATTCACATTCATATCAAATAAAAAAAGGGTATCTATTAATACTCACTCCTTTAGAAGCAGAAAAGAATTTACAAAGAAATGTAAGAGAAACCCTAAAATTTAGAGATGAGGCTGAGGCCGTAGTCATTACTCATTATGATCTCTGAGCTAAAGGTTGTCGTTACATTGGTCCCCTCAGAAATATTAAAGCTTCAGTAATCACCAAACTTAACCTAAGTAGATTTGTTTCCATTCTTTTTTGAAAAATAGGATGTTTTGCAAAGCCCATAGGCCCAATGGCTAACTAGTCCAATAGTTAATATCTAGTAGAACCAAAATTGAACAAGAGGAGTTGAACCAAAGACTAAACATCAAATTGGTCAAACAAACGAAAGCCAAACATCTTACTCTTATAAAAGTCGACTTGAAGAACTTAATAACACCACAATGCTGCAGCAGAAGGCTCAACAAAACAAAAGCACACAGGGAATTGGGAACCATCAATAACACACATCAAAACTAAACAAAAAGTTACGTATACTAGATAAAAATCAAAAGGCTAGCTGAAACAGGGCATGATAATAATCTATGTCATCTTGCAGCTTCGTATTTTTATAAACCTAAAATATATTGTCATTCTTATTTTCTTAGTATTGTCATTTCACACCGTCGTAATATTTATATACCTAAAAAAATATTGTTTTTGATATCACCGTCATTTTTATAAACCAAAAAAAAATTTGGTCATTATTATTTTCTTAATTGTGTCACTACACACTTCTGTAATTTTTAAAAATCTTTCTTGTCATTTTAGTTTCCGTAATTTTGTCGTTTTGCATTGCCGTTTTTTTATTTCCAAGCACTGCCTTCAACTTTTATAAACCTAATAAATATTGTTATTGGTTTTTTTTTTTTTTTTTTTTTTTTTGAACTAAAAAATATTGTTATTGTTAATCTCTCCTAAAGTAGTAAAGTCTATTGTCGAAGTTTGTTATATATGCTCCTCCAAAATTTGCCAAAGCTTTGGAAAACAAAATATTGACATTGACATGAATCGTTGATTTCGGTCAAAATAAGGTTTAAGTAGAAAGTAGTTTCCTCCAAATTATTCTTAAACCCGGGTAATTATACGGTTTCTCAATATATTGGACTTTAGTTTTCTTTAACACCTATATATAGCGTTATAATCTAAACATTAAACTGCCATTAATTATTGTTACTATTTTAATGTGCTACCATTCAACTATTTAAGGAATCTCATCCATAGACAATTATTAACGTTTTTAACTTTCAATTTAACTATAAATAAAATCTTTGAAACACAAAAAAATAAAAATAAGATATACGTTTAATTTGTTTCTCAATATGGCCACGATGCTAAAAAAACACATAAATTTTGTTTCATTGTTATTATTAGTGCTCTTTGCATTCCTAAAATCAAATGCAATGCCAATCAAAGACGTATACAGTCTTTGCAAGGAATCGTCTGAAGTAGATTTCTGCCTGAAATACATTGGGTCGGACAAACGTATAGTAGCCGCACGCGACTTCTATGACGTATTTTTAATCGCGGTATGTTAGATAGTTACTAATATAACAATTTCCATTAATTTTTTTCTTTCTTAGTTATGCAGAAATTCATGTGGTAGAAACTAGGATTAAAAAATATTTTCATAACATTAATGATTTAATTTAGATTTAATTAAGAAAACTGAATAATTGTAACCACAAATCAAAGTAATTGCTAAAAACTAACATCCGTTAAAGTTACAGAAGGGAACAAATCACAAATATTAGATTTGAAGACGCAAATATTTCCTCTACTTTGGTCCATGCATGTTTAACATATACTATATAGATAAATAGATATAAATTAACTATATTTAAAAAAATAATTTTCATTAAATTAATTACAGGACTATTGAAACTTTATAAATCAAGAAAATACTCTATACACAATAACTTTTGATATAAAGCTGAGTTTTGTTTTAATTTCATGTTAGTAATTTCTATTTTAAACTTTATAAATCAAGAAAAAAAAAAAATATATATATATATATATATATATATATATATATATACAGTTTAAAAAGCAAAATATTTGGTTCAATGTGTGACTATAGCTTGGTCACATATATTACAAAAGAAGAAGCAAAATATTTGGTTCAATGTAAATAAACTTAGGGATAATAGCGGATTAAACTTAGAGATATTGATAATGGATTGGATTAATAGTAGAAAATTGTAACCTCAACATTTCTTGTATTATTAAATGGCATCCAAAATACTAGCTAGAATATTTTAGAAAAATTGTAGTTTATTAATACTCAACAAAAAACAAATACATTTTATTTATTTATTTATGATTGAAACCTTCTTGTCAGATATCTAGGACCCAAATTATAGTGGACACTGGACTCTTGGTTATCAGCGGTGAAGATACCCGTAAAATTTATAATGGACCATTTGAGAAGAATTTGGTCGTTGTATGTGAGAAAAAATACAAGATCGCGGTCAATAGTTTTCAGAAGGCTCGAGTAGTTGGAGAGAAAAAGTCAAAGTCATTAGCGGACCGTACCGAAATGTCCCAACGCACGGAAGCTGGCTTTGAGGCTGTGCTTGATTGCGAAGACGCATGGACATATGATCAGGAACGTCCACGAGTGTCTCCTGTTGTTTACTATTACCATAAAGTTCGAAAACTAATTAAAATCACTCGTGTTATTATCAAAAGGCTTAACGCCTAGCTAGTTGTATTGTCACTTGGTATATTATTTGTTTAGGTTAAATGAATAAGACTTTTTTTGAAGTTTTTGATAATTCTCATCATAAATGCATGCAAAACATGACGTTTTAAACTTTCGACGCAATTATGGGATACATGACCTGAATGAGATTTGCAAGTCGGGAGATCTAAAGAGACTAAACTTGTATATTTGAACTAGGTGGAAATATATACATGACAATTGACAACTTATTTCTATAAATTGTATATTGCACAATGCCATCCATTTTATAAATCTAATTAATATTGTCAATGTTATTTCCATAATTTTTTATTACCCACCGCCGTCATTTCTATAAATTCCAAAAATTTTGTCATTACTACTCCATCCGTTTCAAAATATAAGGCGTTTTAGCTAAAAGCATGCCGATTAAAAAGATCTACTTTTTAAAAGTTCAGCCAATCATAAAAGAGACTGCATAATAAAAATAATCATAAAATATTAAAGTAATATATAATTTGCATAGAAACTTGAAAACGATTTATATTTTGAAACAAAAAAGTTTCTCCAAAATGCCTTATATTTTGAAACGGATAGAGTATTTCCGTAATTTTATCATTTCACACCGCCGTTATATACACCACCGTCATATCTATATTCCTAACGAATATTGTCATTGTTAGTTCCGTAAATAAATTTTACTACTGATCGCCGTTATTTTTATAAACTTAAAAAAATTAGTTACTTCCGTAATTTTATCATTTTGCACCGCCGTTTTTGTATAAACCTAATAACTATTGTCATTGTTGTTTTCCTAAATTTTGTATTATGCATCGCCGTCATTTCTATATTATTCTTAACAAATATTTTATTATTTTTATATTGCACCGCCTTCATTTTTATGATATTTTTTTAAAGTTATTGAAAATAAAGGAAAAAAATTTATATAGTTAAAAAAAATTCTAATTTATATTTCACTCAAAATGTCTTATTTCAGTAAATGTAACATCGAATTTTCTTCAGTTTAGTTCTGATATTGTTTATAAGCACAATAGCACTACAGTTTGATTAAAATATGTTAACGAAAAATCAGATTAAATCCCTAAATAATGAAACTCTCTCAGGCACAACTATCGAAGAGCAAATTCTGAATCTGATTTCCGACGCCGGTGGAGCCGTTGCTCGCCGGCGTCGGGATTTCGCAAACCATCTTTTACTCTCTTTTCACAATCGTTTTATAACTTTTTGTTACCTTCCCGACCATCACCGCCCTCTCACTTCGATTTCAGTTCTAGTGGTCGGAGATCTTTTAAACACGCTTTCAAGGACTTCAAAGCTTCACCGGTCTTCTATTCTGGTGATACCTTATTCCACCCTCCACCGGTCGACATGGTCGCCGGTGAGATCTATTTCCAAAATGTGGAAGCTCGGATTTCCGGTAAAGATGGCTACAACTCGAACCTCTCCAGTTTCTCACCTTCCGGTGATGACATCTTTGAAGCTGATGATAAATCTTCATGCGCTATCGACAAACCCATAAGTTCTCTCCTTCCGCATCCAGCTTTACACCCGCCGTCGGAAAAGATCTCTTCCCCGACGAGCCCTTTGTTACACGAACCCTCCCACTCCGCCGCTCTCGAGATCTATCCCAGCAAGCCGGAGATCTTCCCAGCTGTTGATTGCCGCAATTCCGTCGAGCCACCGCCTCATACACATCTCTACGGTTGAGAAATTAGGGTTTACTGACTTGGCCCAGGTTTGGGCCTGTGGCAAGATGGGCCTGGTTATATTTCAGCCCAACCCTTTTAATTTTCTCTCCCACATCCAGACATTTTTCAAGCCCTTTAACCTGAAACGTAACATAGTTTTTACAACTCTTTGGGCTGAAATCAATTTTATAACAATATTTCGATCAAGCCATTTAATCTACTGTCAATCATATCTACTGATTTGTGATGGCTCAAGATCAGTTTTCTTCTTTATGAAGAAACATTTTTTACAAACTTCCTCCTTTATGGAGAGATCACTTCCGCAACCCTCCTCAGCTTTGGAGAGATCACTTCCCCAAACCACTTTCCGAGGTAGTCATGGCATGATTGGAATGTTGACACTGGATTTGATGTTTCCCGACTCCACTATTTCCTCCCATGAGGAGAGACATGGCTTTAACTTCCCCTTTGTTGAAAGAGAGACCTTTTCTGCTACCATCCCTCAATGGCGAGGTAAATTTCTAATGTGCCTCCTCCTGAGATGCTTAGGTGTGTCCCAAAACACTTTGTTTTCTCGGGTGACTACCTATGCGAGACCGGGAGCACTTTTATACCCTTTTTCTTCACTCATACTCACGGACACTAACCTTCACGGCATCTCTTTGCTTGGTTCGGGAACTCTGCATACAATTGTGTGGTTTCGAATCCTCCTCTTCTTCGACGACTTTGGACTTTGGATTGCGAGATTTTCATCTCATCCTTTTTGCGACCTCCCTTTTCAGGGAATGAGTGCTTATGCACTTCAGGCGCATTATTGGAAGTATAAAACTGCTTGGAGTCTTTTGTATTCCTTGCGGCAATGGTTATCATGGAGCTTGGCATTCTGGAAAAGGACAGCCCTCCGCATCGACAAGAATCCTTCCTTCGTGGTGGAACTCTCTATCACTAGTTTTTCTATTTCTTTTGTTGTAGCTCTTCAATCTAGTTATTTGTCTTATTGTATTAAGGTCTGGATGTTGTTTTGCTCTCGAAGCAACATACCGTGGGTATCTATCCTCCTATGTAAGTTTATTGGTCTACGTTCCTCTCCTCCTAGAGAGGAGTTTGTATGTCTTTAACTTAATATATTGGAGTGTTTGATGTAAACAAAAAAAAAAAAAAAAAAAGATTAAAATATTGAAAAGCGAGAGATTGTTTCCTTAACATCTTGATATTTATTTATGACGTAACAAAGTAACAGTTTATAAAGCTTTTCTTAAAAATATATATATATATATATTCATAGATATGCCATAAATTTTCAATAGACAAATGTCAACATGCAGTAAACTGAAAAGAAGAATCCATCTTTCTGTAGTTAATTAATTAGTTATGTACATAAAATAACAATTCTATTAGCAAATCTTTCAATTCTCCAAATGGTGACTAGTGATTAGTGTGATAAAGTAAAAAAAGAGAGATTTCAATGTAAATTAAAATATTGATATATATCGTCGGTGACATTAATAACCACTGAAAGATATTTACGAGGACAGAGTCTGGTTAGGCACCGCCTTCCTTTGTTCCAAAAAAAGGCAAAAATCTAAACATTGAAACTTAAAGCTAAAATTAAATCCAATTTATGTAACATTTGTAATAATTAAATTAAATTTATAAGTAAAGAATTAAATATTTGTAGCTAAAAAAAAGCGTTTTGCTCTAACACAAACAATTATGCCTTAATAGAAATTCAGAAAAATAAATAAATAAATACTGATTCCATAGCATTTGTTGTCTGCAGGTTCTCTCTTTCCCTAACCTAAAAAACCATTAGACTCTTCTTCTCTCTTTCAGATCTCTCTCTTCTTCTTCTGCTCAAGCTAAGAACGATCTCTGCCTCTTCTTCCACCTACAGGTATCTCTCAATTTCTTTTGAATTTCGGATCTGGATCTCAACTATCTCTCAAGATCATCGTTGTGTTTTGCGTTTATGATTATCGTATAATTTGGATCTTGAAACAATTCTTTTTCGAATTCTTGAATTCTTTATGTGTTTTACCTCAAAAGCATCAGTTTTCATTTTATGTTAATTCTTGATCATCTTTATCACTGTTTAATTTAAGACTTTTTCTCATTTTTCTTTGTTTTAGAGTTTAATTATTCTTGAAAAAGAAGAAAAAATCTGTCTCTCTCCGCTATAATGGAAAACATTACTGTATTTTATTAAAATAAAATAAATTTAGGTTGAATTTTTGTCAAGTGGCTAATTCCTTACCATTCTTTATTTTACTCTTAATTAATTAATTAATCAACCTTAATAAAATTAATTAAATAATTCTCTTATGACCAGATCTCCATAAGAAACACGTTACCATTTGACCACCTCTTCTCTCCTTCCCTTATCTTTTTTATACTATTATTTATACAACAATTTTATTAACATCTTCTTAATTCACTATTTTGTGTGTTTGATTGATTCTTTGAAGCAACCAAAGATGATGAACAGCTGTGGAATCCAACAAAACGCTTTTGAAGAGATGAAGAGAAACGCCGTCGTTTCTGATCGGAGAGACGCCGTGATTTGTCCTAAACCTCGTCGTCTTGGTGTTCTTAATCACCACTCTTCTCGATCTCTCCGATGGCAACTCAAGTAAGACACTTTTCTTGATAAAGTTGGTAACTTTGTTGAGACAAATACTAAAAGCCATCAAATTTATTGATTTTGCAGTCATCAGATGGAATCATGTGAATCGAATTCACGAAGTGAGATTTTGGATTTCATCCTCACAAAGGTATATATATGATTCAATAACAATCCTTTTGCTTTTGCAGCTGATTATTTGATTGAATTGATAGCTAAAGTTTGGTTTTTTATTGTTATGTGATGATATTTTCAGGGCGGTGGTGAACAAGATGAGACGAGGAGGGTGATGACGCCGCCTTTGTTCTTCACAGGGTCACCACCAAGTAGAGTTTCTAACCCATTAACAAAAGATACACTTTTTCGAGAAGAGCTTCTCGTGGTGGCTTCTCCGACTCCATCGACTCCACGAGCAACCAAACCGCAGCCACCGTCTTCTCCAAGGAACGGCAGTTGTGTTATGGCGGCGACGAGTTTCGGGAACAATCCCGTGGTTCGTGTTGTGGGATTCGATTGTGACAGACGCAGAAGCAACCGGAGCATTTCGACTCTTGCATAAAGAGTAGTCCAATATGCATATATATATATAACAGAGAGGGAATTAAAAGGAACAACTAAGAAAGGTTTAGGAATTGATTATGGATTATGTCGGAGGGTTTTGTTGGTTTAAATGTGTAAATATGTTGGAAAACAAAAAGTGGGGGATTTTAAAAGGGATTGTTATAAATTTTAGGGTTTTGGGTGTCCATTTTCTAAAATTTTGTAATTAAAAGGGGGGAGAAAAGAGAGTGGTTAATTTGGTGTCTTTAGTGAAAATAAGAGCATATAGTGTAATATCTTCCTTATTGTATAACAAAAGGAAAGGCTCGAAAGAGTTTTGAAATGTGAAGATATCATTTCTACCCTTTTATTTTTCTGTATTGTCTCTTTTGTACAGATGTAAATTTTTAAAGGAGTTGATCATTTTTGGAGTCTTATTAGTTCTTGTTTTGTGACAAACATTAGTGATGAATTGCGTACTAACATTATTTTTGTGATGAATTGTGTACTTTCATATTTCAAGATCATTTTATTTCAGTATACTTGATATCGTGAAATCTTGTTATTCTTGTGGCAATGTTTCTCAAGGTAGCTAGCGGTTTAGCATGGTTAGTTTTTCACGAGTTCGAGTGGTTTATTTTTAGAGTGAAAGTCATTATCTTTAGGGTCTTTAGACATTTTATATATATATATCTTTGTAGTATTTTAATTTACATTTTGATCTTTGTCCGGGTGTTGTGCTTTGCTAGAAACATATCAACTCGTGTATCTTTTACTCCCATGTAAGTTCAATAGTTATGTTTGATGCTTCTTGTAGGAGAGTCTCTTGCCTACAACTTAATGAATAGAGTTTTGAATTTTGATGTAAGAAAAAAAGTATACGTGATACGGTGGTTTTACTATTTTTACCATTTACGATGTTACTTAAATTTAAAGAACTGTTTAGTAAAGTAAAAAAGTTATAGTTACGAAATTCGTCTAAATAAAATACTACATACGATAATTAAGTGATTTAGCTAAATTTTAAAGATTATATTTCTTCCAAACGATTTGTATTTGTAATACATTTAAATATTTCAGATAATTTAACAAAATACAAGTTATCAACATTGGCGATATTTCAACAATTGTTTTTTACGTGATTAATGCGTATATAGTTTTATCTATGGAAGTATAATATGTAAACAAAGTAGTCATAATTTTTCAAGAGTTTAAAGATTTGCATTAATTATTGTGGATAATTTTGCTGAATACTACATATTATCAAACATTATCGAGAGAATAATTTTTTGCATACGTGAATGATTATTCAAAAATAAAGTTACAACGATATTTATTCGAAAAAGAGAACAATATAATAACTTTAAATTTTTTGAAAGTTACAACGATATTTATTCGAAAAAGAAAACAATATAATAACTTTAAATTTTTCGTCTAACATAATTTGCATATCTTTTGCAAGTATTTGGGAAGTTATTAAGTTGGAAAATTAGTTTCGTCATAGAGTTTGCTTCAAATAGATGGCGATTTTTTTTTAGGGCTAATAGATTGCGATTATAAATCAAGAAACTATATATCTCTTTTAGTCATATAATTTACTTTTGACAGATTGCGATTACAGTAAAAGAAACAAACAATGTACATAAACCAATAAAGAAAGCGTTAATTAGAAGAAATATGTACATACATGGGCAATGGTTATGGTACGGACCAGCCAAGTGACATGAGGACAACTCATTATTTCTCTGTCTCCCGATCTATATTTCGTTTCGATTCTTTTTGCTTACAGCTTATAAATAAATAAATAAATTTTGTTTCGCTTTTAATGTGTCAATCAAACCAAAAGATTCGTCAAACTTTGTGGCCGGAAATCTCGCATGCTTTATTCTAAAATTCATTGATTTGTTTTTATAAGTATCAATTTAAATAAACTAGTGAAGACAAAAATTAACAGATAAATCTCACTCAACAAAACATGACATGTAACTTTCACCTGGAATAAGACAAAAGATGTACTATGCTGAGATTTTTTGTATCAATTCGCAATTGTATGAAACAATCTTATTATTCTTAAAACCCTTCTTAAATTGACTCTCGTATAAGTCAAACCTATTAGGCTTACCCTTAAGGCCTTAACTTAAAAGGAAAATATTTGAGCTTTTTGAGCCCATTAAGCCCATCTCTTTATAAAAATTGCCTTTTACATTCTTACCCTTTTAGCTTTTTCGAAAAAGGAAACTACAAAATTCAAAAAGCTTTCCCACGCGCCTCACACTCCGCGTGAAGCTTTTGTTTGTTCAAACGTGACGAACACGCGCTAAATCACGCGTGTTCTTTATTTCATCACTGCTCGTGTTTTTCACTTTAACTCGTTTCCTGCTCTCTCACTCCTCCCTCACCACTTCGTCGTCTCTGCGAAAGTCTCTTTGGTCGGAGATAATGGGAGAAGGGAAGGCCTCGACTCTGGTTTTTATCCTCGTCGTCGCTCTGAGTTTAGTTGCCTTCGGCTTCTCTATCGCCGCCGAGCGCCGCCGTAGCATCGTAAATTCACTCTTCTCTCTCTCTCTGTTCCACTTTGTTTCTCTCTTCTAGGGTTTTTGTTCTCTTATGAAATTTGATCTTGAATTCTAATGCTTTCTTAGGTTATAATATTCAATAGGCTGATGCTACTGAAAATTTCTATTTCTGAATTTGTTTCGTAGATTTAGTAACGACTAATGGTGCCTCTAATTTAAGTTCTTGATTGAATCAATTCAGAATCAAGAATTTATCTTTTATAATCTCTGTGAAATTTAGGGAAATCTTGACACTTTGAAAGAACCATTTAAGACCATGTGTTTATGTTTTTGTAGACTGAGAGACTAGAGAAACATCTATGTAACTAAGCATAAAGATTGAGAGTTATAAGCTGTTGTGATAGTTCTTAAGGTCTTTCTTTCTCTGTTTTTGTGGCAGGGGAAGTCTATACAAGACCCAATAACGAACACAACGTTCTGCGTTTATGACTCAGATGTAGCCACTGGTTATGGAGTTGGAGCTTTCCTTTTCCTTCTCTCAAGTGAATCATTGCTTATGGGTGTTACCAAATGCATGTGTTTTGGAAGACCTTTAGCTCCTGGAAGTGACCGTGCTTGGTCTATTATCTATTTCATCTCTTCTTGGTGAGTCACATTAGCTTAAACATCTCTAAAACAATGTATATATCTTCAAGTTTAGCTTCCTCTTGAGTCTTGATATATTGAAAGAGGTTTAGAGTTATTTCTGATTTTGAAGCTTTGACATATCCATGGAGCACAAGTTTTGTCTCTAAACACAATATGGGATGTCCAAATTTGACAATTTTCAGGATGACATTTCTGGTAGCAGAAGCTTGTGTAATAGCAGGAGCAACGAAGAACGCCTACCACACAAAGTACTTAAGCTCGCAAACATTTTCGTGTGCATCACTTAGGAAAGGAATTTTCATTGCAGGAGCAGTGTTTATAGTTGCCACTATGGTTCTTAATGTCTACTACTACATGTATTTTACCAAGTCTGTCTCTTCGCCGCCTGCTCACAAAACAAACCGCTCTGGTTCCAATATCGGTATGGCGGGTTATGCATAAACGTCCTAAAAAGGAAATGGTTTGTCATTTGCATTGTAGATGTAAGAAAGAAAAGAGATTGTTGCATTGTTACAACACTTGGTTACTACTCTATATCTTTTGCTTATATATTTCTACTTATTTATGAAAATTTTCGTTATTTTTTCTCAATTCAATAGGCGATTTTCAATCGCAAGTAATGCATGTTTGTATTTGTCTAGATTTGTAATCATAAAAGCTATGTAAATTTCGATTATCAATTGTCTCAACCCCGAACTGTGGTTTGTGTACAATTGTCTAAAGGACTTCATAAAACGCATAGGGCTTCATAAAAAGGCTTTTCAAAGTTAGGCCCACGTTTAAAACTCCAAGTTTAGTGATTTTGCACGACTATCACTATCCACGTATTACGTCATTGCAGTTTGAGAATGGGTGTGGCTTGTAATTTTTTTGTCTTTCACAACAACTGACATATCAAAACCATTATAAAATATAAGAAGCTAGCAAATAAAAACGACATATTGACGCGGGGAAGAAATTGCTCAATTGACGTGGCTTTTATATTTTCGATACAAAATTGTTCAATCGATTTTCTTTTTTTCTCGGAGTACCAGTTTGAATTTATCCTCTAAATAAGATCATTTACTTTTTTAAAGAAAAAAAAAAGATCATTTACTTTTTTTTGTCTACATTTATAAGTCTCTCAAGGTGTCTTATCGTGAGGAAAATAAAATAAATAGAATAAAGTAGTTAAGTTATATTTATCTAATGTGACTTAGAGTTTTTTTGTGACCTATTTTAGTTATTATATCCTATTATTAAAATTTTACAATTACTAAAAAATAAGAAAAGATCTCCGGTATCAGCACAATTTGTTTATGACGATTTACGTGCCGTTTTGGTTAAACCTGTACTATCAAAAAATTTAAGAGCTGATTACAGAAAAAAAAATAGGTTGATAGGTTTAGTCAGAGAGCCGTACCAAGAAATTTTGATACCATAGGCAGAAAAATATGGTTTAATACATCAATAATATATAATTTAATTTTTTAATTTTTTTTAAATAAATCTACAAATATTAAGAAAAACTTATAAAAATTCACAGTTCTAAAAAAGTATTCATCACACAATGAGAACAAATATATACTATAAAAAAAATTATAAAAACTAGGTTGATCATAATATGTAGTCTTGCAATTTGTATTTAGTGTTGCAAAACAAAATATAATTTTGGTAATAATATAATTATGCTGATATACAAAAAGTAGTATCTAATATATATAAATAATTAATAAAGTTGGATAAAGATGATTAATAAAAAAGAGGTTGGTAAAGAAGTGAGAAAAAAAAGAACTAATGAGATATATAGAAAAAAAACTAGCGGATACCAAAAAAGAAAGATTAACAACACTAAATTATCCCCTTAAAAGTATTAAGATTCCTTGTATTTAGGAATTTTATATATTACAACTTATACCACTTTCCTTTATTATTTGTATTAATCTCTCATAACTTTATTAATTCAATAATACGTATATGATAACTAACCATTATTAACAAATTTAGCTTCCTAAATTTTCTACAAAATTTGCTGATGTAGGCGAATGTTTCCAAAATATCTAAATAAGCACGGCTCTGGGTTTAGTTGTGAAAGCAACCTAAGCCAATTTAATAGACATACGAAAACGTCGTAAAATCGAAAAAAATTAGCGTTGGTCTTGTTGGGTTAGGTGTTAGGTCATGACATTTCTTATATCATTTGAATTAATTTTTTCTATATATCCATAAATATACCCACTCAAACATTAGATTTACGTTTTAACAGGATATGCTTGCTTGGAATTTCTTTATAT